TTGTATCGTGTCAGCTTTTCCAGTTGTTTATTATCATTATCATTATTACCTGGAAGTTGAAGAAGGCTGAATGCATTCTCAGTCCATACATCAAGTACGGATATAATTATGTACTCTATGAATAGCGGGATTTGTGTTCTGAAAGAAAGAAATGCTTGGGAAATGCTTTGCTTTTTAGGTCTAACAATCCTGGAATGCCTAATGGTCACACTGCTAGAGCAGCAGTCCCCAATCTTTTTTGAGTCACAACCTCATTTTATAGAGGCAAAATTACCCGCGACCCCAATACATTAAAAATAGGTTTTTTAATAGGGTAAATGAAAACGGATTTTTCAATATAGTTCAAAATAATGTTAACTGCACATGTACCTGGACCTCATAACAAGATCGTAACACGTTTACACAAACAAATTTCTGTGCAGGAAGCGTTGACATGATTTATTTATTTTTGGTTTTCTCTTTTTAAAATTTCCATAGCTCACCCCTGCCTGGCAACCCCACAGAAAAGCCTTCGCAATTCCAAATAAGGTTGTGACCCACTGGGTTAGTAGATTCAAGAATTTGTTGGCAAAATGTAACTTTTCCAAACTCATGTTTGTCCTAATTTGCCTTCTGCTCTCAGCCCTTACAGTTGAGTAGTTATCCTTTAATGTCCTCGCCTTGAAACATATAGGAGTGAGCAGGGATTAATTGAAATGCAGGAACCCAGGTAGACAAAGGAAGGAGCGGTGCTTAATGACCTCATCTGATGTCCAGTTTATGACTGTCTATAGCTTGCAAACCTAAATTCTCTGATAAAAACACTAATCTATGGGATGAGATAGAGTGCCTCTTTCAAGGAAAGAGTGAGAAGACATTTGGTCCCCATTTGTAGTGTAAAGAAAGAATTTTGAATTTGCAAAATCACAACTTAAACTTTGAAAAAGGGCTCTTGGATGCAGTTACTTTAGAACAAAGCCTTGTTTACAGTTACAGCCTGAAGTCATCATCCTTTGCTGATAGATTCAAGGAAGCAGAAGTGTTGAGAATGAAGGGGCTTTGAATTTCAAAGGGATAGATGGTTATACTTGGGAGGAAGAAACCTCCGGAATGGTAACTTCAATTAGTCTGTTATGGGCAGAGTATGCAACAAAGGTACCCTCAATGCCTTGAGGCCTAACACATTTTACAGCATATGCTTTCATGGAACAGAATAAGTTTTGTCAACTGTATTAAATGTTGCTCTTAATAGGCAGTCTGTCTGTCTATTTATCGATCTGTCTGTATACACACGTACACTACACACACTTCCGTAGACACATAATAAAACTTTATGCAAATTAAGCAGAATAGTAGCATTTTTTTTTTCATGTCAGGAGCGACTTGAGAAACTGCAAGTTGCTTCTGGTGTGAGAGAATTGGCCGTCTGCAAGGACGTTGCCCAGGGGATCACCGGATGTTTTTGACGTTTTGCCATCCTTGTGGGAGGCATCTCTCATGTCCCTGCAGGGGGAGCTGGAGCTGACAGAGGGAGCTCATCCATGCCCTCCCTGGATTCAAACCTGCGAACTGTCGGTCTTCACTCCTGCCAACACAAGGGTTTAACCTACTGCACCACCGGGGGCTCCTGTAGCAATTGGTGGCAACAGCATTATCTTGGAACATAAAATAAGATATGCTGGATAAGACCAAAAGTTGATTTAAACAAGCATTCTGGCTACATAATGTCCAACTAATTGGGGATGGGAACCCTACAAGCAAGAAGTGCAATGAAACAGAAAATATTATTCAATGTCCTTCTCAAAGATAGAGACATTCAGTCAAATGTCCAGCACCAGCAATAGGGTTTCAGATCTATATACAGAGATACTAAAGGGTACTCACACAATAAATCTAGAATATCTTATAGCACCTTACAGTTTGTGCTCTAGAGCAACTCATATGTTCTGTACACATGAACAGATGCAAGAAAACTTTGGCCAAGATCTTACATCGCAGATATACTTACAGATACGTAACTATCAATATGTGTCTTCCCTGACTCACCCTTTCAAACAGCCATTAGTAATACCAAGTGACAAAGGTGTTTGATTGGAAGCTGTGGCATAGCAAGATAATGTTTTCAGCCAGCAATCTCTGGTGTGAGTAGAAACTGGAATTTGGGTCCTGCTTTTGCTCCTTCATGGTGAACGAAGCTAGAACAGGTATGGACAAACTTTGGCCCTCCAGGTGTTTTGGACTTCAACTCCTACAATTCCTAACAGCCTACCATCTGTTAGGAATTGTGGGAGTTGAAGTACAAAATAACTAGAGGGTCAAAGTTTGCCCATGCTTGTTCTAGCTTCATTCGCCAGTGGGATGGGGCTAGAGACACCATCCTATTGCACCCTGATCACCAACACAACAGGCTTCTGTTGCCTAATGTGGCTGCCAAGTTTGGAGGCAATAGTGCCAAGCTAATAAACATACATATGTAGAAGTTAGAAACATGCATCTTTTGCTTACATGAAGCTCTTTTCGATCTTTCTTTGAAATTCCTCAGTTGAAGAATGAGGACTTTCAGGCCAGCAGCAAAATGTTCAGGGATACTGAAATATTCTTGAATTTATTTTTGAATGTTTGTTACTGTTCCATTATGCGGGTGGAGGCCACAAGGGGGTGCTAGACAGAGAAGGAAAGTCTATTTTACAGGTGGCACGAGGGTTGAAGGAGTAAAACTATTTCCCCATTTTCCTGTTGTTCTCCCCACTCATGTTGCTGTCGTGGAAACAACCCTTGCCGGGGGGGGGGGGGTATAATCCAGAAAATGGGGGAAATTATTTTCTTCTTCACCCCCCTCCATAAAATGGACTATCCTTCTCTGTCTAGCACCCCCTTGTGGTCTCTGCCTAGATAATGGAACAGTAAAAAACATTCAAAAATGAATTCAAGAACATTCTGCTGCTGGCCTGAAAGTCCTCTTTCTTCAATTGAAGAATTTAAAAGAAAGATCGAAAAGAGATAATAATGACAAAAGTTGGCATCCTGTAAGGTAAAGGTAAAGGTAGAGGGTTCCCCCTGACATTAAGTCCAGTCATGTCTGACTCTGGGGTGTGGTGCTCATCTCCATTTCTAAGCCGAAGAGCCAGCGTTGTCCATAGACACCTCCAAGGTCATGTGGCCGGCATGACTGCATGGAGCGCCGTTACCTTCCCGCCGGAGCGGTATCTATTGATCTACTCACATTTGCATGTTTTCGAACTGCTAGGTTGGCAGAAGCTAGGGCTGACAGCAGAAGCTCACGCCGCTCCCCGGAGTCGAACCTGCGACCTTTCAATCAACAAGCTCAGCAGCTCAGTGCTTTAACCCACTTCGCCACCGGGGGCATCCTGTGGAGCTGAACAAATGTGAACTACCCATGGTTTATTTTACACCACACACACACTGTTCTAGGAGTCATAGCCTAGACAATTAAATAGTAAAATATACAACACAAACACTTTACAGGTGAACTTTTATTCAGTCGTACCTCAATGTGACTATCAGCCTGACCCTATTTGTTTTTTACTTAGTTTCTCAACATAAAAAATGTATCCGATAAGAGAAACACTGGGAGACCTAGAAAGGAAATTGGGGAGAAGAATCGGGATACAACAACCTATCAATCATCATTAGAGCCTTTAGATCCATCCCCTTTCCCAGGTTTGGGAGGGAAAAGGGGACTTTTAGTTCAGTCTCACAGTTTGGAGCCTTACAGCAGGACGTATGGGCTTTCTCTGTCCCACCTGTAAAAAGCTTCACTTCTTACAGGAAAACCTCTACAGCTTTGCTAGGGTTAAAGAAACAGATCTACAGCCAGCTTTGCTGGGGAGTAAAGTTACAGTTCCACAGCTTTGCTGGGGGAATACAGCCAGCTTTGCTGGAAAATAAAAGAATGGTCCCATGGCCTTCGTGGGGAAAATCTACAGGACTCCAGCTTGGCAGATCTACAGCAACCATTGCCTGGTAAGGGACCACTCGGGCTGTCTGTAACACAGCTTGGAGCCGGGAGTTGCGGCCTTACGCCAGCAGGGTAAAGAAAGATTGCCCAAGGAGGGATCGGAAGGTTTCCCTAAAGGAAAGGAACAGTTTATCAAGCAGTTGCCTGTCCCTTGTTGGCAGATTGAGAAAGCTACTAGTTTTTCAAGATTATATAGCATTTAATTCATTTGTTCGAAGATTTAAGCCTTAATAAAGAACTTTGTTGAACCTGTTTTGAGTCTCTACAGAACTTTGTGTTGGGAAACCTATGGGACCTTTTAGCTGAGGCACCCCGGCGTCCCGTTGGGCATACATAAAGCATGTCCTGTAAACAGACATTGTCACAGGCCCAGCGCGCAACAGCACAGAGACTCTACTGTATATCATTTCTTCCTTATCCCCCAGCCAGGGAGAAGTCTAGTGTAATTGCATTAGCTGAACCGATAATCTGGTTCAGAGTAGAAGACATTTTCAAGTCCCGTAACACTGTTGTCAGTAGATACAGGGAGATATGACATCCCACCTTGTTTCAGCATTTGGGAACTGTGTTTGTATTTCTACTATGTAACCTCCTATACTTGCAGGGATGTTTTCTTCACTTCGTCAACTTGAAAGGGTTTTGATGGCGCTGGGGAAACTTAGATTTCAGTGAGAAATCCAGCTCAAGAAACTAGGAGTAACAATGATTCCAAATGGAGTAAAACCAGGAAATGTATGGATGAGACATTTGAGTCTGTGTTAAAATACTATTTTTGAGATGAGACAAATTGCCCTTTGTGCAAACACCACGAAATAATCACGAGGAATATGCATAGAACTGTACAGCCCGTTGACACCCTCTTGTACACAATCCCACACACAGCACAGGTGGTACCTTTAACCCTGTTTGCCCTTTTGCCTTTCTTTATGCACCGTTCACAGTGATTCTGGTTTTATGCCTCGTTGCTTAGCAACGTTTGTGAACAAGAGCACAGCCTTTTCTTTCCCTCTCTCCACCCCTTTGTAGGAGTTTGCAGGCCAGGTCACAAGGAAAGCTAAGTTGTTGGTGACAACAAACTCGTCATTGCTGAAAATTGTGTAAAATTACCTCTTGGCTTAGAGTTATGTAAAGAAAAAAATAGTGGTTGGTTTTGTATTTGTGGCTGTCATGTCCAGATATTTGTTTTTGGCTCCTGGCTTCTCTCTGCCCTTCAGTCCTCTCGCTCCTGAAGCCTTTGAAGAGATCAAATGCCTTGCCGGCCAAGCTTGGAAACAACACATTCAAGAAAATGCAAAGGGTTCGACAACCTATACTGGAGCTTATGGAAACAAAGGGCCAGATGAACTGCCTATCCGTAGCCGTGTCATCCCTTCTTCTCCTACCAGGACACATAAGCCTCATCCATCTCAGTAAGCACTTCTTCTTGTAACAGCAGTAATGTGGGTGACCTTCCACTGGAAGATGACCATAGATTTGCCTTAGGGGACCTAGAGCTGTGGTTCTCAACCTTCCTAATGCCACAACCACCTAATAATAGTTCCTCATGTGGTGACCCCCCAACCATAAAAATATTTTTATTGCTACTTCATAACTGTAATTTTGCTACTGTTATGAATCGTAATGTAAATATCTGATATGCAGGATGTATTTTCATTCATTGGACCAATTTTAACACAAATACCCAATACACCCAAATTTGAATACTGGTGGGGTTGGGGCGGGGGGATTGCTTTTGTCACTTGGGAATTGTAGTTGCTGGGATTTTTAGTTCACCTACAATCAAAGAACACCAATGATGAAATTGAACCAAACTTGGCACACAGAACTCCCATGACCAACAAAAAATGATGGAAGTGTTTCGTGGGAATTGACCTTGAGTTTTGGAGTCGTAGTTCATCTACATCCAGAGACCACTGTGGACTCAAACAGAGATAGATCTGGATTAAACTTGGCATGGATACTCAATATGCCCAAATGTGGTGGAGTTTGGGGAAATATACAAAATAGGAGTTCATTTACATATCACCACAAGAGAGGACTGCTTTGCAGAAAATTCTATATTAATAGATAGAGCATAGTGGCAAAATGAGAAATGATTTTAATAATTTGAACAAAATAGCAGTGTATTTTCCCTAAAAGGGGATGACTGCAAGCAGGTGACATATGAGCCTGCTGTGGCCCAGGTGATGTTGATAAACAATACCAAGCTCCCTGATCTCTTGCTTTACGCTTCTCTTCTAGGAATGCTAAATACCATATATACTCAAAGATAAGCCGAGTTTTTCAGTCCTTTTTTCCAGCTGAAGAAGTCTCCCTTGGCTTATAAGGGGCTCAAGGCTCCAAACCATTCTTGTAATATATGATATATTTCTTTCTCTCTCCCCCCGCCCCCTTAACAGTGTGTTTTGTTTTCCAATGGCTCCCCACCCCACTTCTCCTCCCAGGCTGGAGTTGGAATCTCTTACTTGGGCAAATGTATGCTCCAAAGCTTTTCCCCTTTGCAAGCCCTGTGTTATCTGTATATATCTATATGCATAGTCATCTTATATATGCGTTTTCCCTGAAATCTTTTGCAAGCCCAATTTCTGTGTATCCAAATGTATTAACTTTGTATAAGCATTTTGGTTTCCTTGGAAGTGTTCGCTTGCTTTTGCAAGCCCTATGGATCACATTTGGTGATATGGGGGGGGGCACAGGGAATGGGGGCAAATAGATTTTCTCACATTGGTGTTGTTAGTGGGATTTTCCTCCATACTCTTCAAAGAAAGGACATATTCAGGAAGAGCATTGCCTTCTGACAGTCCTTCAAAGACAGTGTGGTCTTCTACAAAAGCAAATGCACAGCCAACCTGCCCAGAAGTTAAGCCTTAATTGGATTCATAGGGCCTCAATCTCAGGTAAAAGAATACAAAATTACTGTTTGAATGGTGACACAAAGTGTTGGTCCTACCAGGAAGAAGGGGGTCCACTTCAGGCAACCAACTGACTTGGATCAGTACTGCAAAAAGCAATTAAAGTATCTGTAAAACATTGAAATCAAAGGAAGTCAGGTAACTGAACATCATGAACATGGTGGGCTTTTGAACCCTACAGCAGCCTGTTGGAATTTAATTGGGCAGGTAGCTAAATCCACTAGGTTGAGTGGGAAGGGAAGGGAAATGACCAGTCTGGGAACTGAGTGCACTTCCTTTTCGCACTTGTTTAGGCACTGCATGTGCTCTCTTCCTCCTGAAATTAAACTTCTGATTATTCTGGCAAGTCTCGATGCAATAGTCGCTGTGTGAAAATGAACAAGAACTATTATTTTCACATGCTGAGAACAGCTGACTTGCCGAGATAGAATATCTTCATTACACATTGATCTGACACAAATAAGATAAACATGGAATATTGTTGTAGATTAATGAGGGTTTATTTGTCACTTTAAACTCAAAAGTATAGGATAAAAGATGGAGCATTATGTTGGCAAAGTACTAAGGGGATACATGCTGGTGGATCATGTTTTGCTAATGATTACGGCAAAAACCGCATGACAAAACCTATGACAAAACCGCATTGAGTCGCCTAATCAGGCTGAAAAATGCGGTATAGAAATAAAGCAAATAAATAATAATAAATAAAAACATTCAAAAGTCACAAAACTTTCTGAAAGAGCAAAAAAAATCTGGTTTTGGTTTATTAGTGTTTTTGTTTTGCTTGCCTTTTATCACAGGGATATTAAGTCCAGCATGTTTTTTTTAATTGCCTGAGCTTTGAGATCTACAGAGAGATCTGCCCTGTAACCATTATTAGAAGTGTGTCCGGTAGATGTGAAGGAGGTATTAGGTAATATAACAGACAGTGGTGAATCTTTAAAGCAGAGCAATCTAATTGGAAAGGCAGAAGCTAAACAATGATTCCTATGACAACACAAGATCTAGCACAGAACATGAATAAGCATTCATTCCTTAGTAACTTTAAAAAGGATTACTTACAATACAAACAAATCAATACCTAGTCCAGGCATTCTCAAACTTTTTCAGCCATGGAGCCCTTTTGGAAGCAAAAGCTTCTTGTGGAGCCTCAGTAAATGTTTATCTATTATATCATGCAGGAAAAGCACAATCAAAGCACCCCCCAACAGATGGTGATACAGCCTTTGTAATAATAATAATAATAATAATAATAATAATAATAATAATAATAATAATGTTGTAATCGGAGGTGACCCCCCCCCCCAAGGAATCTGTAAAAGATAGCTCAGAATCAGGGAATTCATAGTTTTGCCAAGGACACCAGGCTGGAATGATCCCATAATCCCCTCTCTCCGCCCATGCGGGAACCTAAGGCTTTTTCCATGGCCCCACATGGCAGCGCCCTTGTAAACCCAAACAAGCATCTGACCAATTTGGCTATTATTGGATTCCTTTTTTATAAATGAAACTTCTGTTTTATGAATGGCTCAGTGCTTCGCATCATCTTACATGAACTCTGGGTGACCAAGATGAATCTTCCCTTGACCCTGCATGCCTCCTTCCTCCTATATAAAACTCTGTATATGCCCCATGTCCCCATCCATTGTATGTATGTATGTCTGTATAAAATATGAAGCAAGGTAATCCTTTCATGAACTTTGCCAGCAACTCAGGGCTCAGGAATTTCCAAACTTCCTGAGCTGGTAATTCCCTAACAAATAGACTTGGCAAAAACCATTTGCATGGACAATAAACCAATGGCTCCTCTCCTGGATTTTGGAGGGTCTCATTGACCAGACCATCCAGGATATTGTGGTCCATGGACATATTGAAGCATTCGACATAGAAGGCACTTATGTGTCACTGCCTCCCCCATTGTGCCATTTCCCGGTCTCTGAAAAGGTATCTCGACTCTCATCATCAAGTAAATATCACAGGATTATAAGACAATGGAACTGGCTCTTCGGAGCTAGACAGAAGATGTTATTTCAAGACTCTGGACAATAGCCTGTGCTGAAGTTTGAGAGCTTAAGCTATTGCTTATCAATACAGGCACAGAAAGGGCCATTCATAACCCATCATATGACTTTTTTTTTCATTTTTTCCCTGTTGCCCACCTCCTTCCACCTCATTGGCTGAGCGGCCAAAGCAGGACTCAGGCTCTCTCATTGGATGTCCTGCTGGTTTGCTGACGTCACAGCCAATCACAACGAAACCAGCTTAGGAGGGTGGGCATGGGAACTTTTGAATCTGACAGCCCTATAAATATTATTTTTCTCTGCCCAGCCAGCATGTCAGCTCCTTGGGCAAATAACTGCAGTTGTCATCCATTCCAGGTGGAATGAAATAAAACTTTGGTGGCTTTTGCTTCAACTTGGTGAGATTTTTTGGGGAAAATTAAGGGAAAAATCTTTCTTGGTGCTTGCTATCTCACCAGGTGTCCCGGATCCTCTTTTTGGGTCTGGCTGGTCTCTGCCTAGGCAGGGCCTCCCAAATTGGTGTTCGGCATCATTAGGAGCAGCCCCAGGGGCCATCCAATTCAACCCACTTCTGCCATACAGGAAAAACATAATCAAAACACACCCAACAAATGACCACCCAACCTTTGTAATAATAATAGTAGTAGTAGTAGTAGTAGTAGTAACTGAAACCCCAAGGGCCATCCAGTTCAACTCCCTTCTGCCATGCGGGAAAAGCACAAAGCACCCCCAAGCAGTTGGAGGGAAATGGGGTTTTGGAAGCATGGAAGGCAAGGGGAAAAATCTTTTGGGGACAAGGGACGTGAGGAAAAATGGCCTTGGGGGCAAGGGAGGTGGGGGAGGGGAAGGAGCAGGAAAGAATAGGGAAAGCTTGGGGGGAAGGAGGAGGAGGGAACTTCAGAGCCCCTCAGTATGCTCACCAGAGCACATTTTGAGAACCTCTGACCTAGAAAATTGCTATAGGTAGGCAAAATTTGCTCCTCCAGGTATTTTGGACTCCGGCTCCCAGAAATCCCAGCCAGCTTACCAGTTGTTAGGAATTGTGGAAGTTGAAGTCCAAAACATTTGACCCTGGGTTAGAGGAAAGGCAAGAAGGCATGGCAAAGCAAAGTGTGCCAATTAGCAGCAGCAAATATTAGCACAGAAAAGTTGCTAATTCTAATAAGGCAGCATCATAGGACTCTATTGCAAAGGAACTTAGTCTAGCCTCCTCTCTGTTGGATTATGGGACTCTATTCCAAAAGAGCTTAACCTAGCCTCCTCTCTGTTTTTCTCCTGTCAAGCCAAGACTTTTCTGTTCAAGCAAGTCTTCAACAGCAGCTTGCCTGTTAGACTCAGCACTTTTTAAAATGGATGTGCTGAACCTTTAAAACATTTTATTTGTTATTAATAATTAGTATGGTTTTTTAATTAGTGCTTTGGTAATATAATCAATTTAATTTGTATTTTAATATATATCAAATATTGTGTTTTTATTGAACCTTTTAAATTATATTGGAAGCCAATTACATAGAGTCTTTCTTATTCAACATAAAAGGGCCAGTAGAACGTTGGATAAGTGAAAATGTCGAATAATAAGGAGGGATTAAGGAAAAGCCTATTAAGTGTCAAATTATGTTATGATTTTTACAAACTAAGCACCAAAACATCATGTTTTACAACAAACTGACGAAAAAAAGCAGTTCAGTGCACGGTAATGCTATGTAGTAATTACTATATTTACGAATTCAGCACCAAAACATTGCAATGTATTGAACAGCTATTGATCCAGGTGGGAGGCAAACTGCGTTGCATAATACAGAATGTTGGATGCGTGAAGGTTGGATAAGTGAGAGTCTACTGTACTTAGTCTTTTGTTATATACACACAGAATGGCTCTTCTGAACACAAGAATGGTATCCGTAGTTTCCTCTATAGTCACATTTGACAAAATATGTCCTCTCTAGTCTTCCAGAAAATTCTATAGTTGGCTTCTGTTGGAAGTTTCCATAGCTTTGCCTGAAGGATTTAGCAAATTCTTAGAGAAGATTCCTCTCTAGGGATTTTCTAGATCTTCCAGAATGACTCTATGATAACTTCTGGTGGAAGTTGTTCATTTCAATATGCTTGGTTATTATCTAATTTCCTATTTCCACAGTAAGTTTGGATATGTATCCCCTATGGATACAATGACCATAGTGTACATCCATATAAGGACAATATATTATGTTAAAGTCGATGTAACATTAGATGTTACTACAGAGTTCTACATCCATTCTTTAATACAGACTTCCTCAAGGAGATGTTTTTCAGATGTGCTGAACTGTCAATTACTCTCATTCCCAGACATGAGGAATGAAGTTTGGAAGGAAGCGTTTTAACTCCTTTGCATTATATGAGGGTTATCCAGAAAGTAAAGTTACAAGGCATGTAGCTCTTGTGGGGATTTTCGCATGGGAAGTTGGTATCACTGCTGTGTAGTGGGAAGCCAGCAGAAGCGAACGAGCAGTGTCAGTCGTCAGTAGCTCATCGTCTGGCGTTGGGTGAAGGTTAGAGATGAGTGTCCTCATTCCATTTCTCTCCCAAGTGTGAAATTTGCACTGTAATATGCTACCTAAATGCTAAGGGCATGAATGCTCCTGTGATTCATCATGAAATTGTTTCTGTTTATGGAGAGGGCGTAATGTCAAGACAGCATGTGACAAAATGGGTAAATTTTGCCACCCAAAACAAATGTCATAGGATACTGACAGCGGGAGTCTGTCTCCTTCATGGCAATGCATGTCCGCACACTGCTCATGCACCACAAGAGTTGTTGACTCTATTTGGTTGTGATGTTTTAAGCCACCCCTCTCACAGCCCCAATCTCGCACCCAGTGACTATCATCTGTTCACTAAAATGAAGGAACACCTTGGTGAAAACACTTTTCCGACAATGACATGGTGAAAATCAAAGTGATAAACTGGCTGAAAATGGTGGAGGGATACTTCTATGCCACAGGCCGCAAAAACTCATCCCACGGATGACAAAATAGATTGAACTGAATGGTGATTATGTGGAAAAATAATGTAATACCTATGCTACAATCCATGTAAGTTTTTTAAAAATATATTCATTATTTGTATTTTAAAAAAATCTTGTAACCTTACTTTCCGGATAACCCTTGTACTTTTTCCCCATCAATATAAGGATGGGCGCCATGTTTTTGTGTTAATTAACTGAAAGTTGTCCTTGATTTTTTAATAAAAAGAAACCAAAATTGTCAACTATTTTCTCCCACCATCTTTGTTGACAGTTGAGGAATGCAGGATAAGCATCTTGCAATGTGGCAAGGCTAGTTAATGATTTTCATAAAATCCTGAGGCAAATCTTTTATATGACAATGAGATATTCTAGAGTTCCTTTGCTTTTATAATGTCATTAGAATCTCTTACTTGTGTAGCAATATCATTGACTACAGAGTGGAAAGTTTTAAGAGAATTATGCCATTATAGGATACATTCAGACTGATTGAAAAGTCTTAGGTTTTGTCCCTGATTTCATACTTGGTTAAAATAAACTAACCTGGGAGATTGTATAAAAGATTTCTGATCATACAGGGAGCTGAGAAAACATTCTGGGATAAATGAAATATGTATGGATCTCCAACATAAAATCAGAAAGGACAGGAAAACAATTGCAGACTTTCCTTCAGTCTGGATACTCTCAGAGTAAATATTAGATAATAGTAAAACTCTACAGTATTTTAGTATGTGTAGTAAGAAAGTATGACAATTGTAAGATTGGTGTGTGTGTGTATGAAATATAACAAATAGTGAGGCAATCCTTACGAAATCTGGGAATATCCTGGGTGGTCAGGGCAAAAGCCGCCTGTGCTTTTGATATTCTTGTTGTCATCAAGAATACAGTTAATTATCCATGTGGCTTTTTTGCATGGTATCGGTAAGGAAAAAATGACCTCACTGTTTATACAAATTTCATCTATGATGAAAAGCAGCTGCATGTATTTGGGAGTATCACAATTCTGAAAACAGAAGAGCCGTGGCCTTAAGTTACATTAAGAATTTCTTAGGAAGCATATGAAACCTATATTCTCAGAAGTTTACTTTGCTGCCTCACTGTGGAATGAAGGCAATCCTGGTTTCCAAGCTAGTATGTTTTCAAGCATGAATGCCAACCAAGGATCGGCCTAGATAATGATACACTTATCACCAGAAAGATGGACATCCAGTAATGACTGACTAAAGCAACTAGGGTGTATCTGCATTGTAGAATTAATGGAGTTTGACACCACTTTAACTGCCCCAACAGGAAGTGCAGTGATTCAAAAGCAAATATCCTCTCCTATCCATTCAGTCTGCCTGTGGAAAATCATGGCTCTCAATATCTGCGGGGAGAGAAGAGGTGCTCTGATGTAGCCTTGTTTCCCTCCCTTGGTACTCCTACTAAGAAATGTAGGGAATATGTCTGGTGTGTTCCCACCCACACATGTGGTATGGAAACAAGACAATAATAAGTGAACACAGCTTTAGAAATGAGGGCAGACCAGGTCTCTTAGCTTTCAATCTTCTTGAAAATTCATGCAATACCTATAATCTAAGATTGTGTCTGATAACAGGCTTTAGAATCAAAGCTTCTGCCCTAAATAGCTTGCAGGGAAAGCAGCGACCTGAGCCCTATCTTAACAGGTAGGACATTTGAGAAGCTTCCACTATCAAATATTATGGTAATAGTATTCAAAAAAGCTTGAATACTAGTGTGGGGTGGCCAAATTCTAACATTAGACTAAAAAAAAATTGAATACTCAGAGATGGATTTACCTTWTCCTTCCTCTGAAACACAGCCTATAGCACCCGGTATTTGTTGGCAGTCTCCCATCTAAATACYAGGGTTGAATGAAAAGTAATGCTTTCACCTTCATTACTTGGGTTTGGATGGGAATATTTTAATAAATCAAACGCAGAAATAATCCTTAGAATGTGCTCTTTAAGTACCACTATTCACTTTTCCACATAATCAACAGACAATTGGATATATTTCTGCCAARGATGAATAAGTTTTGTGAAGCCATCACAAAAGAAGTCGACACTCTATTTCCGCAACCCATCGTGCATGGATCTTGCTTGAAATTTCTCTCTGAGTGATATGACYATAATCCTGAATCAATCTCTCAACCTTTTGCTTGTGAAACTCAGTGGGTGCTATCATTGGACYTCCAGCTCTTTTTTTGTCACACAAGTCAGATGTTCCCACCTCAACATCTTTAAACTTACTCGCCCAATGACGCACAGTACTCACATCAACACAATCATCATAAACAGCTTGCATTCTTTGATGAATCTCCTTTGGGGTGACACCTTCTGCTGTCAAGAATTCAATGACTGCACGTTGCTTAAGTCACATTGACCAACCGTCTGCACAGGGTTCCAGACTTCACATTTTAACAACACAACCATTCAATGCTAAGGCTTCCTGACAAAATGGAACTGTAGAGGAGAGTCTACTGAACAAGCCACTACCTATCACATACCAGTACTGCCATCTGTTGAGGAGTTACGAAGGTGAAGGCATTACTTTTCATTCAACCCTTGTCCTAACCAGTGCTTAGCTTCCCAGGTCTGCTTAGCTTCCAAGGTCTGGATCTGGTACCTTTTGGGATTTGGCCCAGCCTCTATGCATACAATCGATTTGTCTGACTTTATTCCAGTTTTGTCTGAATTTTCTATTACATCTTTTTTTTTGTTTTCCGTAGAATCTTTTTAGTAAACCAGCTTCATCACGTACCTGGACCTTATGGCATTCCAAAATGCACAGGAGCAACGCGCATTGGTAAAAAAATAAATCATATGTACTAGAAACCTATATTTTAGAAAATAAGATGGTTGTAGCAATATCAATTTGAACACATCTTTGAGGATTGAGTAGTAAAAGTCAAAGAGGAAATTCTCAATAAGAAAGACTTATGAAGTGCTGGGAACAAAACAAACAGGACAGAAGATAAGAACATTGCACTTTGTGGCAGCAGCAAGGCTGCTTTGATCAGATGAGCCATACTCATAGGCAACCTCTAGATGGCGCCATAGAGCAGAGTACATTCCAAATAAGTTGGCATTTCCAACAAAAACTTTTCAGATTCACCTTTAGATTAATATGTGTACCTGTCACATTTATACACACACGAGAAAGCACTTTCATTTTATCCCCACCACACTATTTTTTAAATGTTAAGTTTTCAAAAAGATACAACTATAGGAAAGGAGATTCCACCTGAACACGAAGAAGAACTTCCTAACTGTGAGAGCTGTTCAGCAGTGGAACTCTCTGCCCTGGAGTATGGTGGAGGCTCCTCCTTTGGAGGCTTTTAAACAGAGGCTGGATGGCTGTTCAGCAGCTTTCACAGTTAGCAGTGTGGTGGAGGCACCTTCTTCAGCCGTGTGGTGGAGGCTCCTGCTCTGGAGGTTGGATGGCCATCTGTCAGGGGTGCTTTGAATGTGATTTCCTGCTTCTTGGCAGGGGGTTGGACTGGATGTGCCATGAGGTCTCTTCCAACTCTATCATTCTATGATTCTAAAACCTCTGTCCCACAACCTCCCCCACCCATGTAGCCCCACAGCAAATACTAGTAAATAGACATTAAAAAAAGACATTAAAAACACAATTGACTTTCCCTTCTGCAAACCAAGACATCTATCAAAATGTTATATTGTACTTCTAATAGCTTTAACATCTGCTAAATAGGAAATATTGTTTAAAATGATACCTATCCAAAAGTGGTATCAACACAGTTTAAACATTTTACTATAATTCACTTCTTGTAATTTCATCCTTTAATTCCTGTATCAATGTCTCCCAATGTTTTCCTTGATTAACTGTACGGTTTTTCAATAATTTTATCTTGGTATCATGTTGTATTTCCCCCTTCATATGAAATGTTCTTGTTTCTTTCATTCCCACATTTTAAAAATGTATATATATGGGGGGGGGGGGGAAGGGAGGTTGCTGTGAGTTTTCCGGGCTGTGTATAAACCCCACTTGCCTAGTTTCCAACAGACCTCACAACCTCTGAGGATGCCTGCCATAGATGTGGGCAAAAAGTCAGGGGAGACTGCTTCTGGAACATGGTCATACAGACCAGAAAACTCACAGCAACCCAGTGATTCCAGCCATGAAAACTTTGGACAATACAAAAAAGATATAGTTAAAAGTATTTAAAAGAGAAACCTTACTTTCCATCCTCACATAATTGGGCCTCATCCTACAAATATTTTCAGGAACGTATATATTTCATGAACCTACTTACAGAATTTCAGCTCTCAGAGAAGCAATTGTTTAGGGAAGAGAATTAAGGGGGTTGAAGACAAGAACAATTTTCCAGTTGGGCGTGGCCACATCATATCTGATTGAAGGAATTCCTATTTATTTTATTTCATGTCAAAAGCATTGCATAAATAAATAAATTTAAAAACTGATAAAATAAAGCGAGCTCAAGCAGCTAAATAGTTTTAGACCAAAAATAGGCAACAGCGACTGCATTGTCTGTAGCTTTCAACAGTCATCCCTCTGTGCATGAGGCAGGGCGTTGTGGGCAAGCATACAGGGATGCTGAGTTGTTTGTTCTGTTCCACAGTCGCACAAGCTGGAGGATGCTTTTAGGTAGTGCCATTTTGCCAGGTTGTCTTTTGATTTGACAACTCTGCTTCTGGGTCTCTTCAGGGACTTCCAAGTTGTCCATTCTTGGTTTGCCCCTGGAGGAAGAACCTGGGGGGGGGGGGGCATCCAGTTGGAATTGCCTGATTTTTCTGTCCACAGGGATATTCTTGCTGTTGCTAGAGGAACATTTAGAGGAGTGGTGATTCTCATGAAACTTTTCCTTCATTTATGTCTACTGGGAGGAGGCTAATATTGATACAGTGGGTGGATTTCACAGTGTTCAAACTTATTTCTCTCGCAATTGGCAGCAACTTGCCATCACACATTTGGGGGGGGGGGAAGAGAGAGAGTGCTAGCTAGCTTTTTAGCTTCCTATGAAGATAATCTATTATGTCATGCCTTGTGGCAGTTTGTAAAGATTTGGGCTTTGCAGTGTAATTCAAAGGACTGGAGGGAAAATCCAATCCTTTTTCTTTCTCTTGCCCTCTTTCTAGGGTTGTCTCCACGTGAAGTGAAGAAATTTCAAGTGTCTCCAAACAAAGTAAGCAAAAAACAAGTGGAGCAGTAGAAATCTTGTGTGTTTACCTTGCTATATATGAAAGAGTGAACAAACCACCAAAGAGAGAGAGGTTTATGAAAAATTGAACCTCCCCACTCCATAAGCCTCCAAAAAACTTTTTTTGGAGGAGAAGCAACATGGAAGAGCATTCCAAGAAATGTGATTTTTAGGGAAAAACTATTGTCCCTATTCTGTCAAAAGATAAGACACTCTCGACTGGAATTTTAAGGAAATTATTTACTTATATCTTGTGAATTCTCCCCTGCTTTGGTGCATCTACATAGCTTAGAATTCAAGAATAATATCTTAATTATTTACCCGATTAAACCTTGCTGTTGATAGTAATAATAATATAATAATAATACACTTTATTTATAACCCGCTACCATCTCCCCAAAGGGGACTCAGTGCAGCTAACATGAGGCCAAGCCCAAAATAATACAATATAATAAACACACAGTAACAAAAAACATCATAACAAAATATAAAATAACAAAATCAACAATATAAAACAGCATATTAAAACCAGACACGGAGGGCGGGCCAAATGTGTGAGGTAAAATGTTTAAAAAGTTAAAACGCTGGGTGAGATAGGGATAAAAGTGCATTTGTAGGAAAGGAGCCTGACAGGGAGGAACCATGGGATTTAGCCATCTTAGGGGCGGGGGAAGATGCTTTATTCTGAGGGCAGCTGTAGATTAAGACAACCAGATGGGTTGAATGGTCATTCTCCAAAAGCACAATGGAAGAGCCAGGTTTTTAGGTCTTTCTTAAAACCAGCTAGGGTGGGGGCTTGCCTGATCTCCTTAGGCAGCGAATTCCAAAAGCAGGGGGCCACAGCAGAAAAGGCCCTCTCCCTTGTTCCCATAAGACGAGTCTGTGATAGAGGAAGGGGCAAAGAGAAGTAGGTAAAGACATAAGACTAATCCAGTATAAGAGTTATTTATCTTCCACATTAAATGGCTGCACATATAGACAGATGGATATGATAGAGAAGAACTAGTTACTGGTTATATGAGCTGTGTATATATTTAAATCCAAGTTTAGCTCTCAGATGCTATACCTTCTGATGTTGAACTTGTGAAAATTGCTTTGACCAGTGCACACAATATAAAGCTTATGTGGTTGGACTATGGTTACATTTAAAAAGCTTGTATAGCAGATGAGCTTTTATCCTGAAATGTTCTATCCAATCTCTCATTTCTCTTCTATTTTCCTGTCTAAAGCCTGGAAAAGTTCTCTTTGGGTGGAGGGTACAACTCCCAGATTTCCCCCAACCAGTAGCATTCACACCAGTTGTAGGAGACTGGGAGCAGCTGATGTCCCAAAGGAACTTTGTCAGGACTGTTCATATCCTTGGCAAACTAGTAGTTTCTCTGACTTTGTAGTAAAGTACATCAAACTTTATTTGCTGACACAGTTGAAAGCCCCTATCCAAATGTTACCACCACCTGCTGTGGGAGTTGTAATCCAAAACACCTGGTGGGCCAAAGTTTGTCCATACCTGTTCTACACCCATGAGGTTGCCTAGGGTCTGAGATCTTATTTTGGGGGGGGGGGGGGGGTTGGGGTTTTTTCTCTCAGACTTCACAGGTATTAATCATGGCAATGGAAGAGAAGAACCTTCTTGGTGGTTCCTCCAGCCTGTAGAACTCTCTGCCAAAAGAAATTAATCTGGCGCCCTCCCCTTTGCCCTTTTACCAGCAAGCAAAACCTTTTTATTCAACAACCTTTTGGAAACTGGATGCTGGGGAAGGGGTTGCACGCTGTACCATTTTACTGCTATGTTTCAAATTGCTTTTAACTTCCAATAGTCTTTAAATAGGATACTGTTGCTTACTGACATTTCAACATGACAGCTTTTGATCTGTTTTTAACATGCTGTTTTAATCATGCTTTGATGTGTCATGATTCCCAGCTCTAGGAGAAACGCTGGTTGTAAGAGGTATGAATGAATGAGTGAAGGAACAACTGGATATATTACAGAAAATTGTAATGCACATATTCTCCAAATGTCCTGGTTTGACAGGGACAGTCCCAGGTTATTTACTCATTTCCTGCCATTTTCCTGGTTTGGGACTCAAGGTGGTTTACAACAGTTAAAGGCAGTGTTTCTCAACCTTCCTAATGCTGCAACCCCTGAATACAGTTCCTCATGTTGTGGTGACTCACAACCATATTATTATTTTTGTTGCTACTTCATAACTATAATTTTGCTACTGTTATGAATTGTAATGTAAATATCTGATATGCAGGATGTATTTTCATTCACTGGACCACATTTGGCACACAAAACTCTCATGATCCAACAGAAAAAAGCTGCAAGGGTTCGGTGGGCAGTGACCTTGACTTTTGGAGTTGTAGTTCACCTACATCCAGAGAGGACTGTGGACTCAAGCAATTATGGATCTGGACCAAACTTGGACCTAATGCTCAATATGCTCAAATGTGAACACTGGTGGAGTTTGGGAAAAATTCACCTTGACATTTGGGAGTTGTAGTTGCTGGGATTTATAGTTCACCTACAATCAGAGAGCACTCTGAACCCCACCAATCATAGAATTGGGCCAAACTTCCCACACAGAACCCCCATGCCTTGAAGGGACTCGCTGGCATGAACCTCCCTCCAACCTCGCGTGTTCTCCCCTGCCCACACATGTGCACCATGCTTCCATGTGCCGAGCACGCCTGCTCTCCCCTCCCCCACTTGGAGTCTCTGAAATAGCCCTCTCCTTGACTGAGAGGCTGGTCAATCACAGCAGAGGAGGGCTTTTGGTGGGAGGATTTGCCGTCTGTTTCCAAAAAGGAAGAGAAGGATAAGTGAAGAGATCTCCAGCCTTCTCTGCCAAAGGCGTTCCTAAGATCATGTTATCTGATGATTTTTGGTGACCCTTCTGAAACCCCCTCGTGACCCCCTCCCCAAGGGTCCTGACCCTCAGTTTGAGAAATGCTGGTTAAAGGAGACATAGCTAAGAATATACAAAAGTTGAAAACATCATTAAGCCATCCATAAAATTAGAGCTGGCATGGTGTAGGCCGGGGCTTGAGCATTGGATTCTGAATCTGGAGACTAAGGTTCAGTTCCTTGAGAAAGTCAACACACTCTCAGCCCCAGAAAACCCCATGATAGATTCGTCTTAGGGTAGCCATGAATTGGAAATGACCTGAAAGCGCTCAATAATCTGAAAAAAATAAATTAAAAATGTAACCATTGAAACAAGAATAAGACAAAACGCATGAGCACAATACAGCCCAGTTCTGCCAGACTCAATTCCTTTGAATGGTCTTCAAAGGCTGGAAAGATAGCAGAGATGTTGCCAGCCTAACCTCTCTCAGGAGGGAGTTCCAGAGTTAATCCACTGCTGTCCAAAATTTTCAGCTTCTTTTAAAGCATCCCAGTTTTTTTTCTTTTTTTCTCCCACTTCATCGTCAGCTCCCTTCAATTATTGCAAACCGAGTTGAAAGTGCAACAATCTGAGTACAATACACTCAGCAAGAAGGAGCAAAGGGCACGGGCCCCTTCCCAATTGGCTCATTTGTGTTTTTCTTTCTTTCTTTTTACAGATTTTCCTCAACTCAGAACATTTTAATTTTGTGTGAATAGTTTTTGCCCTCTGGTTGCCTGGCCACTCTTTTGACCATACTCTGATATTGCTTGGCGACATAAGTCACAGTTTTCCTCTGTGAAATGTTGGAAGAAATGGATGCACTATGTCATCTTTAACATTACCGTCTCATTTACCACCTCTTTCTTTCTATTTTTAAAATATAGGTTAAATATAAAGCAGCTGTTGTCGCATCCCCGGTCACACCGCTCGATGTAATTCAGCAAGGGATAAAACCTGCCAATTTAAATGGTGAGCTCTCCTTATTCATTGGATTGAAGTATCTTTTCTTTTCCCAACACATAAACACACTAAAGGTTTTTGGTTTTATTTTCATTTTTGCAATTATTGTAGGGAATCAAAGTGGAGAAGAAAAAAGATTCATCTCATCTTCCAGTGAGGATATGCTGACTGGCTGGCCTGTGAAAGAGAATGATCATTCCATTGTAAGTACAAGCTTACACAGGCTGCAATTTGAGCGAGGCACCCAAGCTCTCTGGTTCCAAACTATAACTATCCTTCCCTAAACTGCAAATCACCAAGTTCAATAGACATTTCAAGTGGAATCATAATACAATAGTTCTGTAATGTGTAAGGGCCTCTAGTAGTTTTTTCCATCTATAGCAGTGGTCCCCAACCTGTGGTCCATGGACCACCAGTGGTCCCCAAAACCAAAAATATGGTCCACAGCGTCACCATTACTACACCATTGCCTTGAAACCATGCAGCACTGAGAGTGACTGGTCTCACAAACCCTCTTATAGCGTTGAGGCAATGGGAATGTCGGGAGGGGAGAAGTTGACTATCCACAAAAGATTACTACTATCACATCAGCTCTAGATTATTAAATATGTTTTTCTGTGGGCAAGCAGATGGCAACTACTGGATGGCATATGTTCTGTATTAGAAACTAGAGCTGATGTGGTCTATCCAATGCAATTTTCTGAATTGGCACCCCAAATAACCAAATAAAATCTAAAGTTGAACAAAAACTGATTGTAACCCTTTTGGTGGTCCCTGGTCAAAGTGGTCCCTGGTCAAGTGGTTCCTAGTCAAGTGGTCCCTGGACAAAAGAAGGTTGGGAGCCAATGATCACAAACTTTTTCTTAAAAAGGAAGGGTTGAACGCATGGAGACATTCCCAATGATCTCAAACTAGAGGAGTCAGGCAGTGTGTGGCTTCTTTCCATGCAATCTTAATTTTATAGAGGAGCAGAATGATTAAATGGGGTTTTACCATCCTGAGAAAAAGGCATCAAAGAAAAATTTAAATATGAGAGACTCAGAACTCTGTCTCAGATCTGTAGGCAAGTCTTCACTTGTTTTCTCTTTCTCTCATGTTCTGAGTTCTGCTGAACCTCCATGAACATTTAAAAGAGAAGTTAAGTTGACTTTTCTGTTCTTCTGTCACAGGAGGTGCCAACAGGCAGGGAGACTGAAGCAAGATCGCCTCTACCATAAGTAGATGCACATCTATGGTAATAACAAGCACTTGTTTCCATCTAAGAATTGCCTATCTCCACTGGAAAAGAAGGATTCAAATGTGGGAAAGAAACCCAACATAAATGTGTTGACATTCTTACGCAAAAAAAATTATCCAAGGGAGTGGTATGCATTTAATCAAGTTTTGTTTTATGGTTTATATGTACATATGTGTGTATTCATAGTCCTAGAAAAATGATGCATTACTGGAAGCAAATTGCAAAAAATAAGTGTTGTACAGGGAAGAGGTCAAATTCATGCTCAGCATATTTGATTCTCCAGAGCAGGGATCCCCAATCTAAGACCTGCAGGCTAGATGTGGTCCTCCAAAGTCATTTACCCAGCCCCCAGTCTGAAACAACTTGAAGGCACACAACAATCCTAATGAACTTTACTATCTCATTGGAGAAAGGAGGCTCACACTTCCCATTGAAAGCTGTCCAAGATTGGGTGGTTCATTTCACCAGGCTTTTCCTAAATACAATCTGAAGTAACACTTACCTTGAGAACTTAGACAGCTTAACATCCAGTCCCTGAAGAACTCCCGTGCCTGGATAAAATACATATTATATTTGACATGAATGTTTGAACTATAAGGGGTAGTAAAGAAGATTCACAAGTTCTAATTGCTCTCCACGTTAGCCAAATTAGTGGTAGGATTTTACAAGACAGAAGTTAGGGTGATACAAATGGTGAAGAAAGCAGACTAATTCTAGCCCTTGTAATTCAAACAGTAGGACTTTATACTAGTCTTGTGCATTTGTACAGAATCATAATCCATTTCTATTTGTTTCATTTGTAAGGCAGCTTTTTAATTTTTGAGTGCCTCTTCCAAAAAGGGCCAGGGCCTACAGTCGGGCACCCACTCGGCACCCAGCACTTGGCTGCAGACCCTGGTGCTTTGGGCCTGCTCGCCACACACACACTCTCCTTGGAAAGTGAGAGAGTGTGTGGTGAATAGGCCCAAAGTGCCAGGGCCTGCAGCCAAGCGCCTCTTACTCGGTGCTCCTGGCACGTGCTGGTGCCTTGGGCCTGCTCATCACACACACACACACTTTCCAAGGAGAGAGTGTGTGGCAAGTGCCGAAAATCAGCCGACAGAATGGTTACCATTCCTATTTTCATTTTGTTTTACTGTTATTTCCATACCAGAGGGGGATGTACCATTTCATGCCTTCCAAATGAACAAAACGGTACAAAAATATGAATTAAATGGATGAAACAGTAACCGGGCCCATTACTACTTTATACATTAAAAAGCCCTATGAATCATGTCTTGAATTTGAGTTTATGAAGACTATCAGAATCTCAGTGGCTGATGTGATAGATTTACAGTAGATTGGATTGATTCTGATTTGCACTAAAAGTTGTTTCACCAAAAGAGAAAGAGAGAAATTAGATTACAAGTTTATCAGGACCACACAGCAAATATATATACAATCAATGACATTATGTATCTTTTGTTTTCAGTTTCTCTACTTTTTTGAGCTAGAGAGTCAATTGTTCCACTGCAGCGTATAACACAGATCCTGAAGTCCTGGCATATTAAATAGTAACCCATTGGGATGTGACAAGACAAAAATAGGACCAGAGTATAGCCAACTTTGTTTTTAATTAGAGTATATATACTTCCAAACTGGATACACTAGAAATTGGCAATGCAACATAAATGCAAAGAAATATACCAGTTACTGTCAAAATGACCCTGTACAGCCTTATAATGCAAAAAAGCTTTATACAATACAAATTTCCATTAATGTACACAAACCTTGACAGTGTGATATCTGAATATGGTACAGCAAGTTAAAAAGGGCCGGGGGGAAGCAAGGAAAGTGCTGAGAATGTAACCAAATTACTGGATGGAAAACAAGAAAACCAGCCTATCTTCAAGAATGCATAGTGAAAAAAGCAGATACAAACCGAGCCTGTTGGTAAAAACGTCAAGTCTTTTAACAAGCAAAGGATATCTATAGGGAGCATTCCTATCTTTAGCTTCAGACAGCCAACAAATTACTGTGTATGCAAGGGCTTGGATAAATACTGTATTTTTTTTCCTTAAAAAAATAATAAAAAACACCTCCAGATGCATTTTTTCTCTCTCATTCAGAACTCATGTATAACGAACGTTCCGGAAATAATTCAATGTTCAAAGTGCTAAATAAAGCTGCCCAATTATATCAAGCATTACTATGACAAGACATCAATACAAAAGGAAAATGGTTAAACCCAAGGCATTAAGTTGCTTACAGCATCATAATACTCTCATTCCTTGCAGTTCCTATGTATATTGCACCATTTGGTTTACAGGGGGGAGAAATCGCTTAACATTCCTATGCATGCGTAGCTTACCTGCTGACAATCCACTTTTTTCCTTTTATTAGAAACACCTTGAATATATTTAGTTAACTGCAGCAGCTAGTTGTGGAAACACAGTCCCTTTATACTTGCCATAAGGCAGCGGTGGGAACCCTTGTCCCGCCAGAGTTTTTGGACTACAACTCCCATCGTCCCTATCAAACACTGGGTGGGAGTTTATCTTCTCCTTGCTAATGAAGGAATTAATTTAACCCTTCGGATTGACATGTTGTCTACTAGCAGGCAAATCCTTCTTTTCTTAAGTGGAGCCTGTTCTTTCAGCGATAAATCTGTAGTTAAGTAAATAGTTCAAGACTGGAGAAAAATGCCCTCCCCTGATCTACAGAAATAGCTTTGGAAAATGAGAAATTATAAACTCTTTGTGTGAACATGTGCTTGCCAGCGTTGCATACAGCAGCATACTGGGTGAAGAGGGCCTATTGCAGCTTGCTGGGACATCTCTCATGAGCGGCCACCTTGTCACTGCCGGTAACTCTCTACTGAGATGTCACTTTCTCATCTTCATCCTTTCTTGTGCCTATCTGGAAGATCTGTGTGTGATTCTCTGCCACATATTAAGTGCTGGTGATTCCTGCTAGGCTTTTCTATATTCTTCTCATAGATTGGGATGGGATGCTACTAAAATGTCATAGCCCACGACACTCTACTGACCTTTCCTTAGTCAATGTTTTGCCACACAATCAGCTCATACAAATACTTTTAACACCACTGGGTGAAATGAAGTGTATCAAGATGCCTGTGTTGGGGACAATTTAAACATCATCTTATTTGTTGTCGAAGGCTTTCATGGCCCAAATCACTGAGTTGCTGTGAGTTTTCCAAGCTGTATGGCCATGTTCCAGAAGTATTCTCTCCTGATGTTTCGCCTGCATCTATGGCAGGCATCCTCAGAGGTTGGGAGGTTTGTTGGAAACTAGGCAAGTGAGGTTTATATATCTATGGAATGTCCAGGGTGGGAGAGAGAACTCTTGTATTTTTGTAATATTCTGGTCCCAACCCATCCAATCCTAGGCTCTTTCCGGGTTTTAAATTATCTATAATTTCCTCAATCTCTTTCTCTGATATTAATTGTTCCATAATTAGTCTGTTTCTTGGATTTTTATTTTCCAATGTTTATCTACATACTCTTCAACTTTCTTTCTAGGTCCTTCATGTGCTGTATATAGATCCTGATAAAATTCCTGAAATATTAGTATTTTATACTCCATTTTCATGCTTTGTTTTTCATCTCTACTTTTAATCACAGTTATTAATTTTTTTGTTTCCTAGTTGCATTAGCTAATAATTTAGAGTTTCTTTTGCTATACTCAAAATACTCTCTGTTTAAATAAATCAAATCTCTCTGTGTCTTTTTGACCCCTCTTTTTCAAGTTTTTTTCCCTCTTTGCTATGCTCATTCTATCTTGTTCTGTGGATTTCAATGGTTGATGAAGCAACCTGGACACAGCATATTATTTGAGAATACAGAAATGCTGGACCACTCTAACAACCATCATGTCAGACTACACAAAGAAGCCATTCAAATCCACAAGCATGTGGACAATTTTAACAGAAAGGAAGAAACCATGACAATGAAGAAAATCTGCTACCAGTATTGAAAAAATTCTAAAATCAAGACAGTAAATAAAAAGAAAGACTCAAACAACAGGGGAATTCCTGGCATGAAACAATCAGGGCCAGCTAACACCTCCCAACAAAGGATTCCCCCAGGCAGGAATCAGCCAGTCTTTGAAGCTGCAAGGCCATTCGATGCTAATCAAGGTGGCCAATTGCAACATTCACACCTGCCTCACACAGACAAGAGTTCTTCCTCCCAGATATATAAACCTCACTTGCCTAGTTTCCACAGACCTCACAAACTCTGAGGATGCCTGCCATAGATGTGAAAATGCTTCTGGAATATGGCCATACAGCCCGGAAAACTCTCAGCAACCCAGACATCTTATTTTATTCTTTGTTATACTTCTACATTGACTCTTGTTCCTTCTGTGTTAATGTAATGTAACCTACCTAGTTAAACCGGCTTTTCCCCCTTCTTGTCCTCCATTGAGAACAGTTTCTGGTCTTTGATCTGTTATATAGATCTGTACTTCTTCTCCTTCTTATGTGTTTAGTGGAGGGAGCTGGTAGTGGTAATGATAATGACAGACAATACACATCAGTGCATGGGCAAGGAAGAACATCTTGGGGAGAGTTAACAATGGACATAGATCATCTAACAGGAATGCAACATTTGCTTCTTACTGCAATAAAGTGCAATATTTATGTCATTTTAATGACCACAAAATAAGAGCTTTAAGAAAAATATAAAGTTAGCTTCCTAGAAGAGTATACTCGAGTAGGTATCAACAAAATGATATATAGGAATACAAGTAACATGAAGAGTAATGTTTATAAGGACACACATTTTTTTGCCAATATAACCAAACCATTGGGCATACAAAAGAGAATTGTATAACAGCACCTTTTTTTTTGCTCTTTCTGCTTAAAAGAACTCGCCATTAACTTTTCAAATATACAATCTGGTACGTTTTCAGACAACAAAACCTTTTTTCTACACTTCTTATCTTTATTTATTTATGTTTTTTGCTCGTGAGAAACATATTAGTGCAAGACTCAAGCACTGTGCAAAACCCGCCTTTATTTAGTCTGAGCATTTCTACCCAGAATTCACCAAACCCTTCCTTTTTTAATATCCCCTTTCCTAGATTTCATCATGGTTGAATGTACACTCTTGATTTTGCAAAACAACGTAACCACTGAATTGAGGCAAGAATGATCATGTTTGATCTCATCTGAAGGCTGCTTCCTATTATTTTCTCACCCACCCCCTTCCCCATGTGCTAGTCTTGCCTTGCATCAGTTTGAACTGAGCACATGCCTTTAAATCACTAATTTTCTTAGCAAACTAGACAGAAGCATAATGGGGGAAATACTGTATTTCTTCGATTCTAAGGCACACTTTCTCATCCATGTAAACATCTCTAAAATTGGGGTGCATTTTATGAGGGGCATTAATTAAAGATTTCCCCTGACCCACTTCCTGTGGACTGAGGGAAACGAAGCTTGGCAGAGTTATTAGTCCTTTTCTACATAGGTGCCACCTAGGGACACACACTTCTCCCATCTTTTTAAGCAACTGTAAACAACTTGCACAGGTTGCTCCAAAAGCTACGCTGTGACTTCAGAAATCAGAATCTCACCATCTGAAAAATGTTTGCCCTTCAAAAATAACTTCATTGTTGGAAAGAGGTGGAAGTCCGATGGTGTGAGGTCGGGTGAATACGGGGGATGCGGCAGAATTTCAAAGCCACAGGAGCATGCTTCCATTTGGGCAACATGTGAGTTGTGAACTGGTGCATTGTCTTGCAGAAGGTGGACACCTTTGGTGAGCATGCCACGTCTCTTGGTTTTGATGGCCTCTCGCAATTTCCGCAGCAGTGAAGCATATTATGCCCTAGTAATCATGGTACCCTTTGCTAAGAAATCCATCAATACTACTCTGTGTTGGTCCCAAAATACTGTGAGCAAGACCTTGCCTGCCGAGAGTTGGGCACGTGCCTTCTTTGGAGGCGGTGAGTCATGATGCTTCCATTGCATCAACTGGACTTTAGTCGCAGGATCATAGCGATGGACCCAGTTTTCATCCTATATGATCAGTCTGTTGAAAAACTCCTCCTGGTTTCCATGGCACATCGTCAATAGAGCCTGAGAACATTCCACTTGTTCCTGCTTCTGGAAAGGTGTGAGCAGCCGGGGGACCCAGTGAGCAGATACCTTATGCATGTGAAAATGATCTTGCATGATTTTTTTCCATGGACCCCACACCAATATTGACAATTTGGGCTAGGTGGCAAATGGTTATGTGACAATTTTCCAAAATGGTGACCTCCACTTGCTGGATGGTGTGTTCATCAATAGCAGAGTGGGGTTGCCCTGGAATCGGAGCTGTTTACACCAAAGTCCGACTACATTTGAATTGATGATGCCAGTTCTTGACTACATCAAATGATGGGGAATCATCACCATAAACCTCTTTAATCTTATTGAACGTCTCCTTTGGTGTGCGGCCTTTCAAGTAAAGGAACTTGATGACTGCTCTGTATTCCACTGACTCCATTATCAGACCTCACACCATTTCAGCACCTGTAAAATCAAGGCCATTAGCAGTTCTGAGTTGTAAATTGACACCTAACCTATAGATATTTATAACATTACACATGTGCAGTTTCAATGTCCTGTGATAAATAGAAGTGGGTCAGGGGAAATCTTTAATGAACGCCCCTTGTAGAATCATACGTATTTTATTTTTTGGTGGTGGTACTGAAATTTGTGTGCGTCTTACAATTGACAGCAATCTTAGAATGGAAGAAATACAGTAATTTAAATGTAGTGCATACGTTCCATTTAAAATGGATGCTGGCATGCTGAACTTTGCTCCTGGACAGCTGCACTATACTCAAGTACAAAAAAGTATTGGGGGGGAAAACAGCCCATAGTTTACACGATTATAACAGAAGACCTTGGACATGCTCAAAATGCACTTGCTGTTTAAAGGACCGGGTGCGCTTTCCTGTATGTCAGTATTCTATATTCCAGGCTGCTTCATACATTTTTCCTCTATAGACATAATCTCTGTGTTGGAACATGCATCTGCACTACAACATTTCCAAAAGAGGCAGAAGTGCATTGTTTTTGTTTGTTTTCATGGAACACAACCTCCAAGCAGCATAAATGTGCAGAGGCTAACCAATTTGTGGTGTAGAGAGAGAGAGAGAGAGAGAGAGAGAGAGAGAGAGAGAGAGAGGTAGGGAAAGAACACATTCATATTATGACAAACATGACTGGGTATAATCCATTTGCCCATGCAGAGATTATTTCCATGTTGAAAAATGGTAACATGTGAAACAGCCCTCACCTTGAAAGGCTGAAAATAATAGTTTCTTCTCAACTACTTCTGCCCTGATCTTTGAATTCTCAGAGAGGAGAATTCCTAACCAACAACTATTCTATAGCACATTCGAAGTAGTACTGACTGGTTTGCCAACACTGCTTGAACCAAGCATTGCTGTTCCCATGTTCGGATAACTGCAAAAGAAAGAGAAGCAGGCAAAGTGGTGAGCATGGAGAACCGCAATCATTATCGCAAGGGGCAAGGGTGCTGCTCAATGGTAGGTAGAGCACATGCTTTGCATGTATCGAAGTCCCAGGTTCAATCCCCAGCCTCTCCAGGCAAGAGCTTCTCAGGCGACAGATGCTGGGAAAGACTTCTGCTTGAGAAGCTCAGAGAAGTGCTGTGCTGCCAGGCAGAGCAGACAATACTAGGCGAGATGGACCACTGGTCTGACGTGGTATAAGGCAGCTTTATGTGTTCATATTAAATAAGCCATTACAAAAGGATGTGCAAAAGTAATGTCATGGCACACTGACTCTCTTTCAGACACATTCGCACTCACAAACCCAAAGGAAAATGCATCAATATGTAATCTTAGCAAGTGCTGATTGCCATTAAGGACACTCTTGTTCAGCGTTAAACAAGACAAAAAAAGAGTTTTTAAGTTAAGAGTGCTGGGGACATGCCTCTGAAAGTAGAAGAATGAAGGAGGTCACCTCTCTGAAGTTTTTAATAAAGCAGCCTTCATGTCAATGCATTAAAGAGACACACAGAGCCATTTTGTTTTCTTATATCTCACGACTAATGATCTATAGTACAAAGGTTCAGCCAGCCATACCTGGGTATGGTTTGCAACAACGTATATACCTGCTGGGTGTCTCTTGGGTGTGTTTGGAGTATTTTTGGTACAGAATGTGGCTGCCCTCAGACAGTTTCTGCCCTTTCGGTGAGTCCAAGGTAGGCGAGGAAGGAGTGCTTCGGCGATGTGTCACCCAGGCGTACAGTCTGTGGCTGGGGCGCATGGAATGTGATCTCAAAGTGGTTCTTAGGAAAAAACATGGTCAAGGGAATGAGGTGGGCAAACTCAGAGTTTCGATACTTGTCAAAGCAGAGGGAAGTGCCATTGATGGCCAAGGCCTTAAGTGCCAGGTTTGGCTCCGCACCCCCACTTTGAGCAGCCGTCATGGCCACTGTTTGGAGAGCCTGGGAGGCGGACATCATGGAAAGAGGTGACAAGAGGCTCCGGGGACTGCTGCCTGCAAGGAGAGGGCTGGCTTCCTTAGAGCTTGATCCCTGGCCCTTTTTCTCCTCTTCGAAGCAGTCCCCGTTTTGGTGCTTCTTCACATGGCGGCTGAAGACAAAAGGGTGGGTGGTCTTGAAGAGGCACTCTTCGCAGCTGAAAGTCTGCCGCGGTGCATGCTTGAGCTTCTTGTGCAGGTTGAGATTGTCTTTGCGCTTGCAGCTGTAGCTGCACTGGTCACAGTGAAAAGGGCGCTCCCCAGTGTGTACGCGCACATGCTCGATCAGCTTGTTGGCCGTCTTGGAAAGGTAGCCGCACTGGTCACATTTGTAATGGTTGCCAAGGCGATGCTCCCGAATGTGCATTTCCAGCTCCAACTGATTGGCTTTCACTGCCTGGCAGATCCGGCACTTGTACTCCATTTTGTAGTGGGTCTTCAAATGGCATTCCATCGCTGCTGGACGGTTTGTGGAATAAATGCAGAACGGGCACCTATCAAGAACCAAACAGACACTGACACATGGGCCTAGATGGTCATCCACCCAAACAGATGCAACCCCATTAAAATTAGTATCATTCTCTTCAAGTTTAGGACTACTGGGAAACATTTTAACCAACTAATGTAATATGAAGGGCCCCCTGGTGGTACAGCAAGTTAAACCGCTGACTTAAAGGTTGGCGGTTTGAAGCTGGGGAGCAGGGTGAGCTCCTGCTGTTAGCCCCAGCTTCCTCCAACCTAGCAGTTTGAAAACATGAAAATGTCAGTAGATCAATAGGTGCCGCTTCTGTGGGAAGGTAATAGTGCTCCATGCAATCATGCTGGCTACATGATCTTGGAGGTGTCTACAGACAACTCTTCAGCTTAGAAATGGAGAAGAGCACCATCCCCCAGAGTTGGACACAACTAGACTTAATGTCAGGGAGAACCTTTACCTTTTTAACGTAATACAAATACTAATCCTATTGATGAAACCCTAACTAGAGGAAGCTCAATTACATTTTTGAATGATGAGTCAACACTACAGATCCACTAAGTTTATTCTAGTTGGGACTAATAAAATGGATTCAAGGCTCTCATTTAGTATGAAATTTCTAATGTTTTGATGCCCAAAGCAGAGTCTAAGTGCACTTGTCAATGCCAGCACTTTACCAAGACTTGTGTATGGCATTGTTTCTACAGGATTGTTTTTCTTGTCGTCTCGTCATGCAGCTTCCCTTTTAAAAAATGTTTTTGTCACCATTACCTTCAACTCTTCTGACTCTCCTTGCTTTTAAAACTGCTACTGCTGCAGAAGCAGATGCATAGACACTCCCATGATTTGTGGGATCATGTGACTTTCCACATAGAGAGGAAAGGGGCCATCCCTCTGTGAGGCCTTGCTGGTGAGCAGGCCCCAAACAAGATCTGCATTGTTCCAATTTGGCTGCAACACGTGTAATCTGAGGCTATGACACCTGGAATCCAGCTTACATGGCCACTGCTGATATGGGCCAGGCAGCTCTAAGAGCCTCACACCCCAAAACGAACTTCAAAAATCAGAGCTTAAGTTAAAAGCTTCAAAGTTAAGCTTTAAATAGTAGTTGCTCATATTGCTGTTATCACAGCCTCTCTCTGGGGCCGCCTTGATGCATTATGAAAGACCCCATCTTCAAAGCAAATCACTGGGTTATTGCAAGGAGTATCACCAGCCATTTTTCTGCAGTGACAAATGCTATTCAAAATTAAATTTTAAATTAATTGTATTTGCTGAAGCAGCAAAAGTGGCAGCTGGTTGGTGGGCAGCAGGTGGTAGATGCAGGTAAAGGGCAGCCCTGGAAGTGGCAGATGGGTGTGTGAGTGCTCAACTGTCCTTTCTGATCTGCTGAATCAGTCGTAGAGCTCAGTGTCGCTCGTGGAAGGGCCGACCCTGGATTCTTGCTACACAGTTCAGACTCCAGCACCTTCCTTCCTATATCTTTCTATCATAGAGCCATCTAAAGCAGTTTGTCTCACCTTGGCATGTGCATTCTTGGACTTCTTAAGACATAAAATGGCAAGCTGCTCCTTCTATGAAGTTGACAAATGCAGGCAGATGCCTTTGAAATGAGTCATTCTGGTCTGTTTTGCCTATTATCTTTCAATGAGGCATCCTGGTAACGCAGGGATGAATCCAACCCACATGTTCATTCATTCACCATTACATCTGACAGATACATGTGTTTACATGCAGTAGATACTCATCCTTGCTCCAGGTTTCTAAACTACTATTTATAAACAACATTTTGTTCTGCACGGTCAAGGATTGTTTTGGACCAAAGTACTTTTAAGAGTGACTGCCTCTGACTCATGGGTGGCCTGATCAGTGAACTGTAAAAAAAATGTTTTTAGGGGGGTTGAACGGAGTGGAGATTTGCTGTTATGTATTGCTGGTTCTAGTAAGATAATTGCATATTTTTTCAGAGTGCTTTGAAATTGGAAAAGCATCCCAAATGTTTTAGAACTAAAGAATTTTTAAAACATGAGAAGTGGTTCTAAATATTTCACATGCAAAGGAGGGTTTAATTATTTGAACTATTTTAGCTGCTACTATAGTAATGAAAAGGGTAAAGGTTTCTCCTTGACATTAAGTCGTCATGTCCGACTCGGGGGGGGGGGGGGGGGGGGGGGATGCTCATATTCATTTCTAAGCTGAAGAGCTGGTGTTGTCCGCCAACACCTCATAGGTCATGTGGCTGGCATGAATGCATGGAATGCTGTTAGCTCCCCACCAGAGCCGTACCTAATGATCTACTCACATTTACATGTTTTCAAACTGCTAGGTTGGCAGAAGCTGGGGCTAATGATGGAAACACACCCTGCTCCCTGGATTCAAACCACTGACCTTTTGGTCAGCAAGACACTATAGGGGGCCTATAGTAATGCAGTATTATAGTAATGTAGTGGGGTTGTGTTGGCGCAGTGGGATAAACCGCTAAGCTGTGAAACTTCCTGACTGGAAGGTCGGCTGTCCGAATCAGCGGTATGGGGTGAGCTCCCGTTGTTAGGCCCAGCTTCTGCCAATGTAGCAGTTCAAAAACATGCAAATGTGAGTAGATCAATAGGTAGGTACCGCTTTGGCAGGAAGGTAACAGCACTCCATGCAGTCATGCTGGCCACATGACCTAGGAGATGGCTATGGGCAATGCTGGCTCTTCAGCTTGGAAATGGAGATGAGCACATACCCCCCCCCCCATCTCATTAATGTGTAGAATGCTATATGAAAAAGAACAGTCACCTTGAAAAGGACTTGTATTGTTAAGTTTACACAGAGAATATCAAATCAAAACCAAACTCTCCTGCTGATATATTATGGGGATTTAGCATTCTAGCACATGGAAATATCCTGTCCATTAGGATACAGTTAGTATCAATTGCTTTCTGGGACAGATTCAGGCATTTTCCATTTTCAGGTTGGGATAGTTGTTTTGTGTGTGTGTGTGTGTGTGTGCTTACAATCTGAGTATTTTGGACTACATTATGTTTCCAGCTCATGAAAGAGTTATTTTAAAGTCTGCAAGGAAGTGCTATGCATGCCTGATTGGCTCTCCCTCACAAACATGGAAATGGAGCTCACATTTCTGTAAGCGAAGCTTTATGCAGCCAACTGCTACTATAAGTTACCTTTCTCTCTATGTTTTTTTTCAGCAGAGGATTCAGGTGACTTACAGTGTATTTACACTGTAATTAATGCAGTTTTACACCACTTTTATCTGCCATGGGCTCAATGCTATGGAATTGGTAATTTGGTGAGGCACTGTTGGAGGAATATTCTGAGAGTGCCTTGGATTGCGAGAAGATCCAACCAGTCCATACTTTAGGAAATAAAGCCTGACTGCTCATTGGAGGGAAGGATATTAGATGCAAAGATGAAGTACTTTGGCCACATCATGAGAAGACGGAAAAGCTTGGAGAAGACTGATGCTGAGGAAAATGGAAGGAAAAAGAAAGAGGGGATGACCAAGGGCAAGATGGATGGATGGTATCCTTGAAGTGACTGGCTTGACTCTGAAGGAGCTGGGGGTGGTGACGGCCGACAGGGATCTTTGGCGTGGGCTGGTCACGAAGAGTTGGAAGCAACTGAACAAATAAACAACAATAACTAACACTCTTTGGCAGAGAAAACTAAAGACCTTGTAAAACTATAATTTCTATGATTCCATGGCACTGAATCATACCAGTTCAAGTGGCATTAAATTGCATTAATTCTACAGTGTAGATTCACCCTAAATGTGTTTGGTTGACCTGTAAGAGGTAAAGATAACCAATAGATCATAGACACACATGGCTCCCCTATAAGGATCTCCCACCCCCCACCTCCCCATTTTTATCACCGCAATAATTGAGATGCTGAACACAGTAAAAGTTTGTGTACTTGCTTTCCTTACTTGAGCCCACCGGTGGGGACAGTGTGGCATTTCTTGTGCTCCAGTAATTGCTCAGGAGTCTTCATGAACTTGTGGCACACATCACATTCAAACATCCGTGTGATAAGGTGGATTTGCAAATGGCGCTCAAACATATTTTTTGTTTTGCAGACAAAGTTACAGAAAACACATTCAAAACCTGCAAGAGGAAACCACAGACACTATTACCTAAGCCACACACCACAGCCTTGCGTTAAGTGGACGAGCTGACTTGGCATCCATTTCGCCAACATTTTACCTTTCTCTGACTTTTCTTCCGCATTTAATATGGTCTGGCTACCAGGCACTACAGAAATAACTAGCAGGTTGTTTGGACCCTTGGGTTTGGGGCTGATATCTGCATCCTCTTTACTGTTGGCAGAATCACTAAGTGCGGACAGGGAAGAAGAAGAAGGGCTGTTTGAATCACTGGGTGTCTTTCTCTCTTCACCTACAGAGAAAACAAAATCAAAACATTAACTTGCTTATTAGTAGAAGCGTTGTCACAATACATCAGTGCTCCAAGCATTGTGAAATCCATTTTCAGAAATCATTCTTGGGAAACTGCATGGACAACTTCATGTTATGCAGTCCTCACCCAACCCATGTGATCTACAGTACATGGATAATCTTTTTGCCACACAGAGATGTATCTCCTTCTCCAGGTCTTGCAACAGTTATGTGAAGAGTTTGGGACAGTTTTGGACTATAGATCCTCCCACCAGTTTTTGACAGCTGTAGTCCTCAAAGTCATCCTTCCAAGTCTAACTAATCATGTCTAACTACTTTGTTAAAGCTAAAATAAGGCACCAGTCTTGTTCATAGGTTTTCTGTGTTTACTACATCCAAGGTTTTTCATATTTAAGTGATGTACAGCTTTCAAGAGCCTTTTTAAATAATAAAAATCCTTGCTCTTATAATCGAAGGCTGGAGTAAATGGTTTGACAGCAATCTGTCTCCTGTGTACCTGCCAAGAGACCACAGTGTCTAGACACCTTACCTGATGTCAGTGTGACACATATATGATTTTTTTTTGTATTTGAGCAGAAAGTTGGCACAAGATGGTCAGTGATGGGTTCCAGCCACAACTTCTATTCTATCCTGTATAATGTTAGCATTTCTGCAATTTAAAAAGCAATGCTCCTAAGTTTAAGCATTTGACCTACTTACATGGATTTACTACAGCTATTGGGAACTTTGTGCTCTTCAGATGTTTTGGACTGCAACTCCCATAATTCCTTACCATTAGCCATCCTGGTTGGGCGTTCTTCAATTTTCAAGATCAGCAGGACAGCAATTGACTTAACACACCTTATAATAACACTAGTAACACTTTATTTGTATTCTGCCCTATCTCCCCGAGGGGACTCTGGGCAGATTCCAGCATATACAAGACACAAGGCAAACATTCATTCACCACCAGCAGCAATAAGATCTACCAACTGAAAGGGTGCCAGTTCGAAGCCCGGGTTGGAGTGAGTACCCGACTGTCAGCCCAGCTCACTGTTCACCTAAGCAGTTCAAAAACAGCTTAGAGCTGTATGTAGAGAAATTAGGTACAGCTTTTAAAAAAAGCGCGGGGGAGGCATTTTACAACACCATAAAAGAAAAAGGCCAAAAAATGTGGTGACCAAAAGGAAGGAGGAAGTCCTGATGGCTCTTAGTCATAGAGGACAGAGTGACTACACCCCCCTGTGGCTGGATTGAGCACAACCTCCAAGGCACCGAAAAACTGGATGTTGACACAACCTATCTCCTTTCTGTATGTTCTGTCCTATAATGCCTCAAAACTATGAAACACAGACACACAGATAATGGTAAAGTCTTCCTTTTCATCTCCGGCTCTGGGGGTGGTGCTCATCTCCATTTTTAAGCTGAAGAGCCTGCATTGTCCGTAGACACCTCCTGGTCATATGGCTGGCATGACTGCATGGAGTGCCATTTACCTTCCTGCTGAGGTGGTACCTATTGACCTACTCACATTTACATGTTTTCGAACTGCTAGTTTGGCAGGAGCTGGGGCTAACAGCAGAAGCTCACCCTGTCCTGTGGATTCAAACTGCCAACCTTCCGGTCAGCAGCTGAACAGTTTAACCCATTCTGCAACTGTGCCCCCTTAAGGTTGTTTTTGTTGGAGAAGGGGATAATGTGGAGTTCACACAGCATGTGGCCCTCCTCCCAACTTCTAAATCCACCCCCCCCCATGGCCAATTGTGCCCCCAGAAGCCTTGGAGGGCACAGTATGCCAAGGCCTCCAGAATCTGCCCAATTCTGTTCTAGGTCCTTCAAGAATGTTGTCATTCCAATCCCGTCATTTTCCTCCTGTTTCTATAGTCAGAAAAACCTCCCCTGTTTGCCAATATTGTTTCTATCTTCTTCCTTTCCACAATTTTTTTTTTAAAAAAATAAAAGAGGAGAAGATGGGATAGCTGCACTGACTTTGACAGGCACAGATAGTAAGCTTATAATCAACCTATGTCTGTGTACTTATAATGACTGGACCTCCTTTTTTCATCCTCTTTTGACACCATTTTAAAAACATGGAGAAGAACTGGAACAATTTCTAAGGTGTTCTGTCTCAGGTTGACACAGGTTCCTTATTTTTCCACTGATTTGCACCAGGACAGGGGGCACTAACTGAACAAAGTTTCTCCCTGTTTCCTTGCTGTTCTTCAGTTCCCATCTACTGCCAACAAAGAGGATGATCAAAATAGTTGGAATGATCAAAATAGTTGGAAAGGAAATAAGCTAGAATTGCTTGGTTTGTTAAGAAAGAGCCTACGACTCACCATTATTTGTGAGCATGTGCGAAACTACCTAAGTTATTCTTGCACAAGGATATTAACTCCTGTTTGCAAAAGATATCCAGGAGTATATCTTCAGTACATTATAGAAAGCAGTTGCAAACGCAAACATACACAGAAAGTATAAGGAGGTGGACAGGGCCAGATCTAGCAACAGCTCCCCTAATGGAAACAGCAGAGACTTGGAAACGCTCTGCACCACAGACTCAGACATTCAAGAATCACACTGAACAAAAAAGAAAACAGAGTGATAAATGGTGCCATTTAAACTTATGGCGTAATCTGGAATTCAGTTTGGCCTTGACCACTACCAGTAGTGCCAGTAGGAGGCTGCTACAGAATGGTCCAACTGATATGGCACTATTAAACTGCAGAGTTTGGAATTATTTCCTTGTTGAATGGGTGGCTTGGGGATTTTGGCAGCTGTAGTCCAAAACGAAACTTTCTCAATCTGTGCATCAGAGGAAATAGCAGAAATCATAAGAGAAGACAAAGCCAAACCCAAATAGAGGTGATCACCTGTGTGCTTGGTGGCGACATGAGCCTTCATCTCTGACTCTTCCATGGTCACAAAATCACAGGCTGTGCAGCAAATAGAAAACATCCACTGTTCTTTATCCACATGAAGCGACATATGACTGACAAACTGGACATTCATCTCAGTTTCAAATCCACATACATGACAACTGGAGGCAAGAAAGAGTTAGAAAAAATTCAGGAGCCTGTGCCTATTGAATGCCTTTGTGACAAAGATGAACACTGCTTCCCTCCTTTCAACCTGGCCAGTGTCTGGTTTTGCAAACTTAGTCTTCTCTGTGCTGTTCAAATTGCACGGGGATACTCTTTTGTCTGTTGAACTGCTTGTGAACTGAGAGCCATGCCAAGCTGATTAAGGGCAGGCACAAGGCAACAATCCCAAACATGCTATAATGATGCTAAATAATCATAAAGTTAATTAAAAACTACAGGTTCCAGATGCTGCACATCACCTAGCCATTTCCTTTGGGCAATAAGATGGGCTGCAGCCTTGCCAAGATATTTAGTCAGGCTGCTATGTGGGCAAATGGAGAGCTTGCTACACACTTCAGGAACAGCTCCCAAGCTTTGGATAGAATCCCATGTCAGGTTGGGCTCTCGTGCAGAAATGCCTGGCATTCTCAACACACACAAGTCAAAATGGGCCCAGGGATTTCTTCTGCCTGACTGGGCAAAAGTACTAATCGGCTATGCAAACACAAGTGCTTCAGAGAGACATTCTGCAATCAGCTTTCAGTCCTGCTAGTATTGACAGCCATGGAAAAAATGAATTTCATAAGCCAGATATGGCTTGAGATCCAAACTATCTAAGGAATAGCCCTAAGAACTTCCTCATTTTCCTAAGACCTTCAGGCTGTGCATCCTATTGTAGCTGAGGAAGCTGAGATATGAATTCGTGATCAGGACAGAAAGATTCCACTGCTCTTATTGCAAAGGTTATTTTTAGAGTACAGTATTTCAAATGGGATTTACATTCAAAAGGTAACTTTTCTAAACTTAGATTTTAAATGTGCACTGAAATCAGATTAAATTGGAATCTTAAGATCTGTTTTTACAGCTTCTGTATGCTTTTTCAATAAAGTCAATCCAGTATATTTTTAATTATTTTTTTTTTTAAAAAAAACATTGCTTACTTTAGATTATTGTAAGTCAGCTAAGATGGCAGGTGCTTAGAAAGGCTGGGTATAAACCTAAGTATATATGTCTATATGAATGCACACATAGAAATAAAATGGATTTCAAGGATTTAAGGAATTACTTCTAAAACCAAAAAACGCATGCACATTCCAGTCAATTTCCTCAGAATGAGTAGCACTTTCCTAATGAAATAGCCAATACCAAATTCAAATACAATCAGTCCTGTAGTTTTTTTTCCATGCCAGGAGTGACTTGAGAAACTACAAGTTGTTTTTGGTGTGAGAGAATTGACCATCTGCAAGGACATTGCCCAGAGGACACCCAGATGTTTTACCATCCTTGTGGGAGGTTTCTCTCACGTCCCTGCATGTGGAGCTGGAGCTGACAAAGGGAGCTCAACCGTACTCTCCCTGGATTAAAACCAGTGACTTGTTGGTCTTCAGTCCTGCCGCCACAAGGGTTTAACCCATTGTGCCACCAGGAGTTCCTAGCCCCTATAGAGGCCACTTGGAAACATGCAGACAGATCAACAGGCTAACTTTTGGAATATAGCGGCTCGCTAAAAAGATCAATAGATTTCACTATACCATTGCACCCTGTTTTGCATGGCCTGAAGTGGTGTGATTTGCCACATAAACAAAAGATCTATATGGCATGTAGCTATACTTGGAGTCAAATATCATTTGGATTCCAAGTGATCTCTGTGCATAGGGCTCTTTCACAGCAGACAAAACAAATAAAATTAATGAAGTTATCTAGGAGCAAATGGCTCCGTAGTTGTTCTCAACTGTTACAGAACAGTGACAATTTGTGGCTTGCTGTATTTTGCTTCAGAGATAGTGTTTCACCCTACAGCCTCCAGAATTCCAGATCAGAAAAACATGTTGGCTGGGATTTCTGGAAGCCATAGCAAAATAAATGAATGAATAAATATTTTAAAATAATAATTTTAAAAACCAACTTTTCCAAGATTTGATTTGAAGGAAGGTGGAATAGATGGGCTTTGTGTGGTAGAGGAGCAAAATATACAGAGGGGAATACAGGTATTGGCTTGGACATACGACAAATTGGCAGCAGAATTTCTCATCTGAAACAGAGAGCAGGAGAATCATGCAGAGCTACAGATTCCCTTCATTTTTAGAGTTTTTATAGCCATGATTGTTTAATATACAACTCTCACTGCGCTGACTTTGGTCACTGCTAGGGCAAAATGCAGGAAAGCCAACAGCATCCAACAGGTCCTCCCGCATGTGCAATGCAGCAGTGCTTGTTCTTTTGTTTTTAATAGTAAGAGGCAGGCAGAAAAAGGAGGCTGGGCCTGGGCTCTGGTCTTGGCTTCCCACTGGGTCCTCACCTGTAGTAATAAGGGTGCTTCTTTCCATCACTGCCTTCGGAAGTGACAGCGCTGACAATGTCCTCAGTGTCTGTACTCACCAGCTTCACGGAATGGACAGTCAGGTGCTGGTTCAGGTTAGCACGGCACTTAGCAGCATAGGGGCACAAATGGCATTTGTATTTTCTCTCTTCTGGAAAGAAAAAAATAAACACTTTGAGTGGGGTCACAGAGAGTCAACCAATCACTTCGATGTCACAATCACTGAAGACTGGACAGCGAGAGGTGAAATCTTCAAAACTTGCAAATGTCCTCTTTAGACTACGATCCTCACCCAAAAGCCATGCTGCTTGAGGGTTATGGGAGTTATAGTCCAAAACAACTTTTACAGACTCTGTTTGCATTTTTGAAGAACTGCTGAATATCTCCACACCTTTCAGTAACACTAACTGGTAACCGGTTACCACTTCATCGTATTAGAGAAAAAATCCACTTAAAATCTGGTTTTTGCTTCTTGCAGAATTCTGGGGTTTGTAGTTAAGTGAGGCTGTTAAAGGCTCCTCCTTAAACTACAAAACCCAGAATTCTGCAGAAAGCAGAAACCAGATTTTAAGTAGATTTTTCTCCAGTGTGATGAGGAGAAACTTTCCTTTCAGCAGATTCTGCCAGCATTTTCTAAACAAATACATGACATCTTCCTATGCATACCTTGAGATCATGTAGATCAGTGGTTCTCAACCTGTGGGTCCCCAGGTATTTTGGCCTTCAACTCCCAGAAATCCTAACAGCTGATAAACTGGCTGGGATTTCTGGGAGTTTTTAGGTCGAAACACCCGGAAAACCACTGATGAAGAAAGACAAAATAATGGTAGTAAACACGCAAACATGGTTAAAATATCATTACTAGTAAAAAGATGCATATCCATGATATCATTTTTGCAAATATTGTTCATCCTTCAGAATAATTGGTGCTAGGTATAATCCAGTGAACATTTTTGAGCTAGATTTACTTCAACCAGAAGATTAAACAGACACTTTCCTCTCTCCCACCAATACTAATAAGGCACTGAAGTCTGGTACATACCTATTGCTTTGAACAGTCCCCACCAAAAAACCCCTCTGACTGCTCTTGGTATTACAACCCCTGTCACCAAATTCATGAAACCACATATGCAAAGAATACAGAGGTAGGAGTGACTTTTATTCAACAAGTTGTTATTCCTCTGTGCATGACAGGGTTTCAATCCAGTTTAATAATAAACACTTCTTCAAAAAAGATAGCATTTCATCTAAAGTTTCTCCAAACACCTCGGCCTTAAAAATAATAGCACAGTAATAGAATTTTGTTTGGTACTAAACTGCACTTGCAACTGCTTTGCAAATGTAAATTGGCAACTATAGAACAATCACCAAACTGAGTACAAGGTATTTTGAACACCTGTACTAAATTTTACAAATTTATTTATGACGGCAACTAATACTTATAAGTGTCATGTCACACGAAGTATGATATCTTTATCTACAAGTTGAAAAAAACTTTTAAATAATTGACCCAAAATACCTGGGTCAACATATATCCAAAGGTCAATGTTGGAAACAGATGATCACAATGCAAGAAATGCAACCTGTCTGTATTAGGGATCCAGCACAAAAGCAGAGGCAAGAGGCAGAGGCGAGAAGTTCTCTCACCCCGTTATCTCTCCCTTGGCCAAATGGGACAAAGAAAGGTAGTCTCCCTTCTTTCGTATCTTCAGAATTCAAAACTATCTTAACAGATTAGAGAGATGGGCCAAAACTAACAAAATTAAGTTCAACAGGGACAAATGCAAGATACTCTACTTAAGCAGAAAATAAATGAAATGCAAAAACAGAATGGGGGACGTCTGGCTTGACAGCAGTAAGTGTGAAAAAGATCTTGGAGTCCTCATGGACAACAAGTTAAACATGCGTCAACAATGTGATACAGCAGCTAAAAAAACCAATAGGATTTTGGCCTGCCTAAATAGGAGTCTAGTGTCTAGATCCAGGCAAGTCATGCTGCCCCTCTATTCTGCCTTGGTCAGACCATACCTGGAATATTGTGTCCAATTCTGGGCACTGCAATTGAAGGGAGATATTGACAAGCTGGAATGTGTCCAGAGGAGGACAACTAAAATGATAATTTAATAGTCCACATAATAATTTTTCAAGCTCTGCTTCAGCTGAAAAAATATTAAAGAGGAAAACCTTTTTAAATGTAAAAAAAAGTTTAAATTGTGTTGTTGAAGGCTTTCATAGCTGGAATCACCACATTGCTGTGAGTTTTCTAGGCTGCATGGCCATGTTCACTTCTGGAACATGGCCATACAGTCCAGAAAACTCACAGCAACTCAATGTTTAAATTATTAGAATTATCAACCTGTGCCACCCAGTTGGAAGTCTTCACAGAAATGGCCTGACAATGCTTTCAAAGGCCTTAATCTGAAAGCCAGTACATTTCTCCACATCTACATTTTAGCATGTATGTTTCAAGTCTACAATAGGGCTCTCTTATGAGAGCAGCAAGGCCTAAACAAAACAGTACAAACTCAAACATCCCAGGCTTCATTTGTGAACAGATCAAGTTTCCTCCTTAATAAGATTTTTTAAATAATATTAACACAACTTAGTTATCTCTCTAACTTAAAACCATGGAGCCATACTAAAATATTTTGACACCAGCTAACAATGAGGCATTACTCCTGAACAAAGTCAGGACAGTGTAAATGGTGGTGGCTATGAAGACAGAATAAAGGTAGTGACCATGCCATGAAGGAAGAAAGACACTAGAGAAATAGGCTTGTTGGAGCTAGCATATTCTGGTTGGCATGTGGGACATCCACATCCATATGTTTCCTTATGTGTGTGGATATTCGTTTTTGGGCTGCTGCAGGGTTTGGTATCCATTTTTTTCTGTAGTGCCCAAACTCTAACTGAAATGCCTTTGAAATTGCCCAAGACAGCAATTTCATGCATTGAGGAGAGCAGATGGGACATATTCTGGCTACATTATCATAACCCAGCACAAAATTGTGACAGTAAGATTTGTGGGGGTGTCATGCGGTCATATGGAGCAACTTTAAAGCCTTTTCAATAAGTTAGAGGTTTATTTTATTTTTTTTATTTATCGTGTCAGGACCTTCTTGCGACAACACCAGAGGCACTCCAAGTGGCCAGCTACTGGTCAAAGGACATTTAATCAACTATCAAGCTTGCAAACTTTGTGTTTTGTCTGTCTGTTTGTTTTGTTAAAAATGTAATACAACTGTCTGGTTGCTCCTGACACAATAAATAAGTTAGAGGTGATGGTACATGATCTATGCTGTGCCATACAGGATCGCAGCCACTATCTGCCTTCTCTTGCACAGCACCATGCTGAAAAAGGTGCAACTGCTAGATTACTGCAGCAACAGGATGCTATTCAGAATCTTTAAACAACAAACATGATTCAAACATATTTTTGTACCATCAATGGGCATCAGCACTATCTGTCCAAAACTTGGAAGGGTATCTCTGGACCAGTTTTTTTTTTACCAAATTCTTTACTGGGTCACTGACTATGTCACTGGATATTTAATAAATCAATTCTTGCTAGAACACTGATCATAAGTATTATGAGACAATAACTGAAGGAGTAGTTAGTACCTCACTGCACTGGTCTAATTATTACAACTTAGATAAAATTCCCTTATAGCAGGAGTTCTTAATATTTTGTTGTTCCACAGACCCTTCTGCCATTCAGATGAAATATTGTTATATAATATCATTGTGTAAGTTTATACTGTCAATTTTTATATGCTATGTATGGTGTATTTATGTGTGCTGCACCTTGGAGTGCTTTTGTGAGCTGCCCTGAATCCCTTCGGGGAGGTGTTGGCAGGATGTAAACAAAGTTTTATTATTATTTATTATAAAACCACGGGCCCTTCTCAGAATGTAGCCACATATAGTTTTATGACACTCACCACCAGCATGCCTTTAAATTAAATTTTAGTATTAATCAAAATTGCATTTTACATCTTTCACACAATTTCAATACCTGATGACCTAAGACGGTGCAACATCTGTCCAAATCAGTGGTTCTCAACTTTTGGATCCCCAGATATTTTGGCCTTCAAATTCCAGAAATCCTAACAATCATGGGAGTTGTAAGCCAAAACATCTGGGGGACCACCGGTTGAGAACCACTGGTCTAAATGATTTTTTGAGATATGCAACAATTGTAATGTGATAGGAAATGAATACTATTGTAATTTTTTTGCATACAATTATAACTGAAGGAAATGTTAGTTTTCAGTTAGAAGTGAGAGAAAACTAAGTTAATAAATTGATTTCCCCCCTCTAATTCAAGCTCACAGACCCCCTGAAATCTTTCCACAGACCCCTAAGGTGTCTGAAGATCCCTGGTTAAGAACCCCCGCCGTAGTGTTTTACCAAGAGCTTTAAAAAAATTACACTTTGCACTACTCATCCCAGAATCTTCCATGACCATTGGCAACCAAGACTTTTGAATTACTGTCCACAAAAGTCCCTTTTCAGAGCTCTGGTTTTCCATCCAGATCAAAAATGAGAGGGGCAAAAGGGGGGGTGGTGATTTCTGGTAATTTATCTGTTGCCCTCCAGTAGCTAATCCTCAATATAGGGCATTTGCACAGGATCAGAGCAAGACAGAGACAAGTTTGTTTTCAGTTACTGGAGATATATATAATCCCATCATTTATGAGCATTGCAAAATACACAGAGGATAGAGCAATCCACCGTCATTTGCATGCAAAGAAATGTTCGTTGATGCCATGAAAAAATGAGAGAAAGTATGCAACACTATTGTTGAAAAAAGTGTTACCTGTGTGCAGGGAGAGATGTCGGGACAACGTCTGCTGTCGGCCAAACACTTTTCCACACACATCACAGGGAAAGAGCTGGTCATTAAATTTCCAAGATGGTAACCCATTTCCAGCTTCCAGCCCTATCTTCTCTGTATCTATTCCCCAAAAAAGGAGAAAATACAGTTCTAGTATTAATTTTTCAAAGCCGTTTTTGTTTATATACTGTGTCACTCAACAAGTCATGGGCAATGCAATCCCACTGTCCCATACAGATGGAAACATTCAGATGTGATCCTTCTGAAAGTACCAATCACACTTAATGATAGTCTTACATATTAGTATTCCTTTATTGCACGAACATACTAAAAAGCAATAGGGGTTTGCCTCAATCTGATATGCAGGACTTTAAAAAGGAGAAGAAAGATGCCAGGGCAGTTACTCTGTTTTACATTCATCTTTCAAGCTGACAAGTAAAGCCTTTTACTTTAAATTCCAAAACACTGGAGGACATCAGTCTGTGCTTGCACTTCTTTATTTTATTCTAAACATTGTTCCTATGGTAACACAAGCTAACCTTTGTAGTCTAGATACTTCCTTGAAGATAGCCTTTCCCATTGTCACCTTGTTTCTGAGCCACAAAATATGAAACTCATCTTGAGCCAACTTTGTGTAGTAATTTGAGTGTTAGACTATGACTCTAGGAGACAAAGGTTCAAATTCCTGCTCAGACATGGTAGAAACCCACTGGTGAAATCATCACATTGACCAAATCAAGCATTCTAAAATGCTTCCAGCTTGCTTCAGGGATGGAGTCCCACGCCTGCCATCACACAACATCATGTGATTTCTGGTGGATGCTCTGCCCCCAACTGGATTGGAAGTGTCCCTGGACCTTATCTACTTAAACCAGTGTTTCTCAACCTTCCTAATCCCACAATCCCTCAGGTTGTGGTGACCCCCAGTCATAAAATTATTTTCATTGCTACTTCATAACTGCAATTTTGCTACTATTATGAATTATAACATAAATATCTAATACGCAGGATGTATTTTCATTTACTGGACCACATTTGTCACAAATACCCAATATGCCCAAATTTGAATACTGATGGGGTTGGGGGAGATTGATTTTGTCATTAGGGAGTTGTAGTTGCTAGGGGTTGTAGTTCACCTACAATCAAAGAGAATTTTGAACTCCACCAACGATGGAATTGAACCAAAGTTGACACATAGAACTCTCATGACCAACAGAAAATACTGGAAGGGGTTGGTGGGCATCGACCTTGAGTTTTGGAGTTGTAGTTCACATATCTCATTGTTTGTGGGCTCAAACAATGATGGCTTTGGGCCAATTTGTCACTACTACTCAATATGCCGAAATGTGAACATTAGTGGAGTTTGGGGAAAACAGACCTTGACATTTGGGAGTTGTAGTTGTTGGGATTTATAGTTCACCTACAATCAAAAAGCATTCTGAACCCCACCAACAGTAGAATTGGGCCAAACTTTCCACACAAAACCACCATGACCAACCGAAAATACTGTGTTTTCTGATGGTCTTTGGCAACCCCTCTGACACACCCTTGCAACCCCCAAGGGGTTGCGACCCTTCCAGGGGTCCCGACCCCCAAATTGAGAAACACTGACTTAAACTCATGACTTTATCACAATGCAACCTGACTCCTGCCACAGGCACAGTAGAGGACCTTCTTACACCCATACCAGAGGCACTCCAAGTGGCCTGCTTCTGGTCAAAGGACATTTAGCGTAATGCCAAGTTTCTTTGTGTTTTTAAATACATTATAACTGTATCCAATTCGCTTCTGACAAGATAAATAAACAAATCACATGGGGGAATCAACCCCCCCCCCCCCCGCGCGGGTGCCGTTTTGCCAGCAAGCACACTCTTGTCCGATTTGGGTAATGCTTCCCCCATATGATGGGGGAAGCGTAGACCAAGTTGCCCCTCGTATCTGCCCTTTCACCACTGTTGCTGGGGAAATGGCACTGGGGGGGGGGTACTTCCCAATGTGGTAAGGCCATGGAATCATCTTGGCCAATGCACACTCTTGCAGTGTCTGTTAACGGCAGGCCTGTAGCCAGGAAGGGGGGGGGCTTGAGGGGTGCGAGAAGGCCTTACGGGTACATTATTTAAACTGTTATGTTATTCATATCATGATCTGATCACCATGCTCAATATATCCCATATGCATGGGGGTATTGGGGTAACGATACAAAAGGTTTGCTAGGGTAGACCCTCTTTCACTCAGACTCAGCCCCCCCCCCCAAATCAAACTCAGCCTCCCCCCGAATCAAAATCCTGGCTACGGGCCTGGTCAACGCTACACCTATTTGTAGTATTTCCTTAAAATTGGTAAAGACTATTGCTGGATGGTCAGACAGTAACACACAATTATGTTTAACGTGGCTGCAATGCAAACCTTAAGTAATACACTCTTTCCAGGTTGGTTTCCTCAAGATACCAAAGGTCATACTGCTTTGATTTCAGGCATTCACAGTTGCTATTAGTGTACTTTTAACACTTACAGAAGGGGGTTAATGACAGCAACAGTTATTGCGATGCCTATATATTCTTGTATCAACTTTTATTCACTTCATAGCACAAAATGTGCAACACTGAGAAGCTCAAGCTATAAATAACAGAGGAAAGCAAAACAGAACAGGGCAAATTACTGAACTGTGAATCTGCTTTTTAAAGTAATCATTTATAGGCTTGTAGATTTTTTAAAAGGGAAGATGGAAACCATTATGGTGATCAAACCTGACACTCTCCTTAAAAGGTGCTATAAAAACCAACCTAGCCATTTCTGTATCCAGCGCATAAACTCTGCTAAGTTACAGCATATCTTGTTGAGAAAGAACCCAATATGATTTAAAGACCTGTAGCTATGCAAACCAACACAGCAAACAGCTCTTTCCCACTGCAATTTTGCAACCAGCTTCTAATTTTAAGATGACAGTCAATTAAATTTTTATTTATTTTTGTGAGTCAACCACTGTAAAATTCTCTGGACTCTTTTGCAGTGACAGCATCACAGGAAGCGTCCATAACTTACTTGTTTGAAGGTGTCAAGCATGCAGTGGTTTACATAGATAACTTCAGTTAACTCGTAAACCAGGAAAAGTTACAATTTTTTTGCAGCACATCCAGCTCCAGGAAGAGAGCTAGATGCGCATCCTGCCATTTTCTAGCAACATGGAAGTGACCATGTTGGGGGAGAGATGAGCTTCTGAAAAGGTCTATCTCTGCAGTTATAGCTTCTTGTGCAGGATCATATTAGTAAATGCTTTTTACCCCCCAAAATATTTGTATGGCCTTATAATGTTCTGTCTCATCAATTATGAAGCATAAGATTTGCACCCCCTTGTGGCCGGAACTGAGCACAAGCCTCCAAGATACCGAGGATGGGAAAAAGCCTATATATACCTCCTATATACAATTGTCTGTTTTGTCTGTATAAAACAGTATTGAATGTTTGCTATATATGCATGTTTTGTGATCTGCCCTGAGTCCCCTTTGGGGTGAGAAGGGCAGAATATAAATACTGTAAATAAATAAATAAATAAATAAATAAATAAATAAATAAATAAATAAGATTTGGAGACTCTTTTTTTGAAATTCTTGCTGGTTGATATGTATATTGCTTTGGAAATTTTATTTTTTTATATAATGAGTTTTATATATCTTAATAAATTAATTGATATATATTACATACATTTTTGATGTGAAGCATATGTATTTAAGTAATGATTTAGTTTATGCCTTGCTTGGAATTATTGTTACGTATTATTGATTTGTTCCCTCCCTGCTTTTAAAAGCCTGAGGAAGAGCATGCAAATATTTTCTGACTAAAAAACACTCATTTAGGAAACATAACTTCTTGCATATATCCTGAGAGCACTGCTTGACAAAGTAGTGGGCAAGGCCTGAAAAACTGGAGAACTACCTGATCCAACCCAACAGACATGTAAGGGACCCTGAAGGTCAAAATGTTACAGCTTTAGAAAGTTACTTTTATGTAGTAGGAGTTTTCAGAGCTGGAGTCCAGAAGAACCTTTGATGGGACCAGCATCACCAAAGCTCAACCAACGTGTTTTTGCTACTTGCCAAAATGGCAAAAACAGATATTATTAAATATCTTGTTGGCTCATTGTGATTGATCTTCTCTGATGTAGTGCCACAGCTCAATACAATAAAGCAGAACCATGTTTACATGGACCATTACATACTCTTGACATAATGGAACTGGAACACAAACAATCCTTCTTACAAAAGAAACAACAGTGGACACTTGGTATCTTCAGGGACTTGGTTCCAAGACTCCCCCTTGGATACCAAAATCTGCAGGTGCTCGAGTTCCATTATATATAATGCTACAGTAAAATGGTGCTCTTTAAACATAATGATAAAATCAAGGATTGCTTTTTGGATTTATTTTTTTTTTAGATCAAGTTGTGGATGGTAAGGGTGCAGAATCGTGGATGCAGAATCTGTGGGTATAGAGAGCCAACTGTAGAGCCACCCCTATAAGCCAGAAGCCAGCCACCGCCCCATTTCCCAATTCATTTGTAACTCTATATATTTTAGCAGAATAGCACTTTCCCCATTTATATACAACCAGAACTATCTGGATAAGTTGTCAGTCAAGGAGCATACATGTGAATTATTGTAATTAATTCAAGCAAGACCTGAAAGCTTGCTTAACGGAGCAGCAAGGATCTATGTAGCCATCGCAACAGGCTATTTATTATAGACACATCTCCCAGAAAAGCCATAGTTCATGTAGCACCTGGAACAACAAAAGCTTGACACTTGAAGGGTGCCCTCTGGGTGCTACCATTATCTGCTATTTGTCTTATAATAATATAAATTATCCTTAATGTGTGATTACTCACGCTTCTTTCAAATTGGCCCTTCTGCAAAGTTTAAAAGGCAGAAGGAGGAGGAAAATGGCTGAAGTATGTATCAAGCTTTTAACTTCCCCAAAATCAATTGTGAACCATTCTTTCAATTATTAGTCTTGAGTTCAAGACAGCGGTCATTTGACTCTATGGCGACGGCAGATGTTTTTACGCAGCTTTTTGAGTGCTTAATCAAAACAGTGCTTTAGAGGGAGGAATATGGTAATGATTA